ACAGCTACTAACTGGGCTTATCCTTATAGTCAGCATCTCCTCTCTGGTTGTCACAAACCGGAGTGGAGCTATTCTCTTGGTGATCTCACCAAATGGCTACCCAGCATCGCAGGTATCTGCAAAGAGAGATGCTGGTGATAACACACCTATTGAATTCATTCAGGTGCGTTTGTTACCACTCTGGTTCCGGACTCTGGCATGCGCCGCACGCAACTATGGCTGTGTTCCCTTATCAAAGAACTGCACTGATACCATGATATCTACATCTAGGATCCTGATCCTCCCAACAACCCACTCAACCCGGGCCCGTCCTTCATCTTGCGGCTAACCAACGAGGACGAGCTCCACTTCTGCTTTACTTTCGTCATTCGACAAGAAAAGGGCACAGCCGCCCCCAAGCCAACCACTGTCAATGGCGTCTCTAGTGCCCTCCCAACGGGCATCGACAACACGGTCAAGAGTCTCACTTTTGCATACGCTGCAAATGCAAAGGACCTTGACAATCTGGTCACGCATGAATTTCACGCGGACCCGAATATCCAAAACAACAACGAAAATGTTCGCCACATTGGCACCTTCAACACTGGAGGGTCGCCATCGGTGCAATTCGACTGGTCGTGGAAATGGAAGCCACCAGTCAAAATTGAAGAGAAATGCGGCGGATGGCGCAATTGCTGCAGTTTTCTCGACTACGACGAGAGGTCCAACAGATTGAACACCCTGGCCTGGTTCCAATACTGGGTTCAAGGGCCCCCCAGACCCTCAACAAGCCCAAGTTTCGAGTCGACCGGTTTTGAGCTCGCGGTGCCACAGCGCAACCGACAGGTCTCATCCCACTCGAACGTCTCTAGAACAAGTGATCCAAATGAATCAAACGACGAACTCGCCCCCGCGGCACCCACTGTCGAATACCAGGATTGCTTTCGGAGATTCACAGCGCACAACAGCAATAATGCCGTCCAGAACGTGCAGCCATCCACCAGTGCGCTGGGAGGTCCCAAGGTGGATGTCACCTGTCACCATCCTGGCGAGGATATGTGCGCGGTCGACGACGGTCCCCTATTCCGGGCCACCATGAAATCCCTCGAACAAAAGACTGGAAATCTACGCACGAGAATGAAGAAGCTGCTCAAAAAGGCCGAAGTAGCTTACCACGCTCGTCTTAGTTGCCATGATGCAATTTACAACTTTATCAAAACTCTCGGAGATACCGCCAAGGCCAACGCGCCAGCTATACAGCCTGCGCTTGACCATTACTTTAACCGTGCGGGGCGTGAGCTCCTCGCGGCCGAACGACTAGACGCCGAATACATGCATGAATTCGTCGTCAAACCTCTATCGCGATTTTACCACGTTGACATGAAGCAAGCCGATGCCAAGAAGAAAGAATTCGATGACGAGAGTAGAGACTACTACGCATACGCTAGCAAGTACCTCGGTCAGCGACAAGATTCCCTCAAGGAAAAGAAACGAGTCGAGAGTGACTCGAAATACCAAATGAAAAGACGCAAATTTGAACTAAGCCGATTCGACTATTCCTCTTTCATGCAGGATTTAACTGGCGGAAAACGTGAACAGGAGTTGCTCGCCAGCCTCACCCAATTTGCCGTTTGTCAGGCAAATGCCCATATCTCAACTTCACGGGGGGTTGAAGCCTTCCTACCTCATCTTGATGCTCTCGTCGATGAAGTCAACAAGGTCGATAAAGAGTTTAAAACTCAACGTACCGAACGCGAAGAAAAGCGAAGACTTCTCGAGAATAGCAGCAAGAAATACATCGAACCCGACACAGCCCAAAACCCCGGCCCATCTCCACCTACTCCAGGTGGCAACAGCACTACGAATAACAACGCAACATCCTACACGTCCGATTCCGACCTTGGCCATGCAGATGGCACTAACTCGACTTTTCGTGGCTATTCTGGCAATACTTCGGGGCGATCGAATTCACCCAACGGAGGAGCGACGGTTCCTACCGGCTCCAACACCGGGCCTGTCTCTACCTCACAAAACCGTTTCAAAGGGTTTCGTGACTTGGAAGAGCGCGATAGCACTAGTAAGGCGGCCACAGAGGGCGCAAACGGACAGCAAAAGAAGGAGGGGTTGTTGTGGGCTTTATCACGCCCTGGGTCGCATATGGACCCGAAAGGGATCAACAAACAAGCGTGGCACAAGTATGTTTCTTTCTCCCCTTTCTTTTCTTTTTAACGTTTCTATCTTTAGGCTTTCTAACGCCATTGATAGATTCTGGATCGTGCTCGACCAGGGCAAGCTTTCAGAATACAGCAACTGGAAGCAAAAGCTGGACTTGCACATGGATCCGATCGATTTGCGAATGGCCTCTGTACGTGAAGCGCGCAATGCGGAAAGACGTTTCTGCTTCGAGGTTATCACGCCACAGTTCAAGCGAATCTACCAAGCCACTTCTGAGCAGGACATGGGAAACTGGATCACAGCCATCAACAACGCCCTACAAAGCGCTGTAGAAGGACGAGTCTCCACCCCACGTACCAAGCAAACTACACCAAAGGAAAAATTATCTGGACGCACAATAGGATCCGCCCTGACTGGCAAATCCGTGTCTCCATCTAACTCAAACAACATGGGACGTCGAACAACGGTTGGCGCACGGCCCGGCTACATGAGAAGTGGCAGCCATGGCTACGATGACGATCCCGCCAAATTACTTCAAACCATACGCGCAGCTGATGAAGGCAACACCTGGTGTGCCGATTGCTGCTCAACATCAAAGGTTGAATGGGTTTCCATCAACCTCGGCATAGTCCTCTGCATTGAATGCAGCGGAATCCATCGATCCCTCGGAACACACATCTCCAAAGTCCGATCTCTCACACTCGACATTCACTCCTTCTCCAACGACATTGTGGAAATCCTACTTCAAGTAGGTAATCGAATCAGCAACATGGTCTGGGAAGCACAGCTATCCCCAGGCGTCAAGCCTGGTCCAACAGCGACCAGAGAGCAACGCCTAAAATTCATCACCGCAAAATATAGCGAGCGTGCCTTCGTTCGTGTAGTCTCGCCCGAATCACCTGAATACAACTCTCCTGTCGAAACACTCTTCAATGCCATCGAAATGAACGACATCCAAGGTGTACTCTATGCCATTGCCTTAGGAGTCAATGTCAATGCTATTGATACCAACCGCAAAACCAACGCTCTGACTGCTGCCTTGGATTCAGCAGATCCAGCACCAGCTATTTCTCCTCCAGCGAGCCCTAGCTTGGGCCGCCAAAGACCATTTATCCCGAGCCGTTCTTCCAGTGCTAGCGCCATAGCTAAGCCATTCCCTATTGCCGAACTCCTTGTCCAGAACGGAGCCATCATGCCATCAAAATTGCCAACTTCTCCCCTCTCTGAATCCGCGCAGCTTTATCTCACCCAACGAAACGTTCGATCCTCTCGTCTTGACGGTGGGGGTAGTAGCACCGGGGATACCCTAAGTGCTCTACCTACTATCCGCGGACTTGAAGGTAACGGTTCGTCCATGCCGGCGGTCGACAGCAAAGAACGAGAGAGACTTCACAAGCGAGGCAGTGCCGGAGCTCGATTTGCAGGAAAGGTGTCGGCGTTTACACCATAACTGAAATTGCCCTTTGCCTTTCTCTTCTCTTTATCTTTATCTTTTCTTTTCCAGATCAATAACTTCATGGGATGCCTGATTGATGATTATGCTGTTTATACCAGAAATGACGGTGCTTTTTGTTCTTTTTTGTGTGGTGTTTGACTAAACTGTCATTCTATATTGTTACCCTTTTCCTTATCCTAACTTTTTGTTCAATTCACCTGTATAAATTAGTTACCAATAATATATATTCTTACCCTTCATCATTCCTTTCTTCTCCTTAATCTGTAAGGTGTGTTCTGCGCTGGGCGTTATCTCTTAAGCGTAAGGTCTTCTACTCTCCTTCACCATATCACTAGTCCAGCGGCCCCTCGAAAAGGAAATATCCACTCTATCTAGCCTGGGAACCAGGGATATCTAAGCAACCCCCCTTACCCATCAAGATACTTCTTCTGATATGCCTTAAGGGCCGTCGTTCGCTGTGCAGCTTACCTAATGACGTAATGAACAGTCACGTGGCAGACCTGTAACCGGATCATCGGTAATCCGCCATAGCGGCCGTTAGTCAGCAAAGCTTAGTCATGGAAATCCGGGGTAAATTACCGCTAGCGATGTATGAAATGGGGTGTATCGGCCTGGGCCTTCACACGCTAAACAGGCGCGAATCAGCGGTATCGTAAGGTAACCGTAATTAGCATGTGACTGAAGAGTAAACCCCCAACGCTGATTGGCTGGAGAGTGGCGTGGTCTCTGTGGGGGCTGGCTGACATAAGCGAACCTCTCTGTTTCTTTATCTTCCTCCTCGACCTCCTTTCTCTCGACCTCGACTTCATCTCTCGTTTCTCACTCAGTGACGGGCGTTGCAGACGAAGTTGCAGCCTGGAATTCACCGCGATAACCGTGTGGTTTGGAGTATCCGCTAGTTGCGAAGTGATCAGGCACCTTTGCTTGCCACCCGAAGCTCCCCACAGTTCCGTTCCAGCTCCTGCCAGTGAACGGGCACCTTGGGACCTCCCCCTCACTCCCTCTCGCCTCTCTTCTTCCACTGGAGAGAGATATCATTGACTCATTTCCCCTTTACTCCGCTCACTCACTGCTTGACGACGACTGTGGTCTACCCCATAACCCCATACTCTGTGCTCCATCGCTATTGAGGTTCGCTTGAGTGCTTGGTTGAAGATCTGCAGATCCACGTCATCTTGAACGACAAACCGGCTGTTTGATACAAGAACGGCCTTCGAGAACACAGAACCGGATTCTTCGCTGTTCTCACTGCCTCAAACCGCCGTTTTCTGCGATTTCAACTACTGGTTGATATCGTAACGAATCCGCCGTTTTTCAACGGCTGTTCAACAGTTCTACTTGAAACGCTAACGTACACCGCTTCTCAACCATACTACAAACGCCCACCATCATGTCGAACGGCGCTCATATGTCAAACTCACCCCCTACTACACCCATTGCACCTCGAGGCCGTCGTGCCTCGATCACAGAGATGTTTGCTCGGCCCGGGAACGCTGCACCCCCGCCATTGAACACCAATACCTCGAGTACTACCGCCCCTCTCTTTACTGCAGCGGCATCAAACGCTCAACAACAACCACATCGTCGGCGAATGTCGATCACCACACTTGGACTATCCGGTTCCCCCACTAACCAGTCTGCTCCCTTTGGACAGACTGCGGCGACAACCACGCCGACGGCAGCAGCTGGAACCACGGTACCTCCTCCCAATGGCCGACGCCGACGAGGAAGTGTTTCCAGCTCGATTCTCTCGAGTTCTCCAACACGGGACCAGGCGGTTGTCGAGGAAGAGGACGAAGAAGACACACCAATGCCAACATCTCCACCCCCATTTGCAAGACGGGTATCCTTCAGCTTCCGGGACCGGGCCGCCAGTTTAAATGGTATATATCAATCCCTTTCCATTCCGGATAAGCACTCAATTCCCTCATTCAAACAACTCATTATCACCCCTAGCATTTATTGCAGGGGTGGTAGCCTTGGTAGGAGCCTTTTTCGTCAACTGAGCACCAGCCGCGTTTTGATACCACAAAAGTCATAGCGGCGATTTTCTGAAAGATTTATCTCAATACCCCGCATACTTTAACATTTTATCCGAGAAGAAAGTCTATATGCTAACATGACTCTACCAACAGGCGAAGGCTTCAACTGGCCAGAAGCTCTTCGATCCAGAGCAGAGCGAGCTCCGTCCCTGGCCGGAAGCTTCTCCATGCATCAGCAGCAGCAAGGGCAGGGGCATGGGCAGGGGCAGCAACACCCGTCCTCTGTCTCTGGCTCTTCGACGTCCAACACTTCCCCTTCCTCGTCCCCATCGCTCTCATCTTCCTTCTCATCGGCCTCGTTCCCAGGCAAACATCACCGATCGGCTTCCGTTGCTACTATGGAGGCGTACAAGCCGCCACCAAAGGAGCTACTAGAGCGTCACCCCTCTTCCCCTCCACCACCTTCACAGCAGCAGAAGCCTCCGCAGCAGCAGCCCAAGCCACGACCCAAGCCGGATTACTTCCAGGAGAAGATCTTGCGTGCCGATTTCATGGATTGACTATAGCCGAGTAGGACCTTCTTACCGATTTTCTCTTCTCTTCTCTTCTATTCTCTTTTCTTTTCTTCTCTTTTTTTCTCTCTCACATCTAGCCACCATATCTCAAGGAACCGTGTTTTATTTCTCATATTTCTCATATGTTATTTGGAATGATGGGAGTTTGTCAGGCATGGAAGCAGATCGGTCATCGAATCAAATATAACAAGTAAGGCGGTGGTGGGATATTCGAATATTGGTACTGGAGTGAAGTTGAACTCTTCCCCTCTGTTTTTCCTTTTTCCTTTTTATGTTTACCTCACTTTTCTTTGGCGTCCTTCTTCTATGCTGCATACTCACCGACTATACGGCTGGAACATCTTACCGTGTAAACCTATGCCCATATCATCACACCTCGGCCTTCTTATCAGCATGTCTGTCTATTTCTTATATTTGAAGCAAGCCTTGCAAGCAAGCTCTGGACTCAGTTTTTTCTTTCTGGTGTGAATATTAGTTATCTAGTTAGCTGGCTATCAACACGAACAACATCAGTGAACCAGTCGTCGAAACATCTTGTCCTAGTAGTTATAAGAACGTCTTAACTAGCAATATCAAAAATATAAAAATATACAAGTAAATCTTCCTCCTGATTCGAACCAGGGGCAAAAAGCGAAGTTGGACTAATGTCCGTTATCTCAATTACTCAAGGTAATCGCATGTATGTTAGTTGGCCTCTTCGCTGGTAAAAAGCACCGTTGAATGTACTGAAAAGGGCGGTGTCCAAAGAAGGAAAGCTGACTAAGGTTGAGGCTCAAAATCTCGTATTCGTGACTCTAGAGTCTATATAACTCCTTCATATATCGACATGATTGACATAGTAGTCACAAGTTCCAAGATCATTCACACATGGAATATCATCTAGGAGTGTTTTAGCTTGTCACCCAGCGGTGGCTTAGCAGCTGCTGGGCGGTCCAGCGCTCAGCCGGATCAAGTTGTAGCATTCGAGTAGCGAAATCGATCTCGACTTCGGATCCACTTCGTGATGCCAGGAAGGATTCTAAGGAGGGTGTTTTGGTCTGAGCCACAAGTGAGTCGACAAGTTCAAGGTCATCAGCACAATCTGATTCAAGGAAAGCCTCAGGCCATGGATTATTGAGACCAAAGAGGCGTTTCATTTTAGTCAAGTACATTATTTTGCGCCGGAATTCATCAATATCAGGACTCTTTAGATCAAGAAGTAGAGCTTGAAATCGTATTCTAACAAACTGCGTAAAATGGGATCAGAATATGCCGACAGTAATCTTGGCCCTTTTTATCATGCTTACCAACAGCCCCAGGTTCCAAATATCTGCAGACGGACCCCAGGGAAGCCTGAGCCAAACTTCTGGGGAGCGTACAGCAAGAGGTTGGATAGGGAAGCCATTTGGGGATTCAAAAACTAGGAAAGCTGTTAGTTACTGCCATAATAGTTCCAGTCATTCTAGAGTTATAATATAGGTACCATTTTCAAAATCAGCTAGTTTAACTTCCATATCAGGCGTCCCTACTTTGGAAAGGAGGATATTCCTTGGTTCGATATCTTGAAGAAAAGGAACAACGTTAACTGGGCTCCATTATGAATATAACAGCGAGCAACAAGACTGATCCTATACCGGTATGGACGTAGTTTCTAGTGTGTATCACATTCAAAGCGTGAAGAAGAGAGATGATCATTTCTCTGAAGGGTGGTTCTTGTCGGCATTGCCACATATCGGGTAGTGAAACATCCATATGCTCCAAAACCAGAAAAGGGGTCCCGTTGTGCTTCTCTGCCGGCACATCAACGAGGGCCCTGATATAGGGAGAACGAAACCTTAGTAGGTTCTGCCTTTCACGATCAAGTAAGCAGCCATCCTCGACTTGCTTCTGAAATTTAAGGATCACTCTAGATACTAGTTAATGTAATGCCAGCTAGATTTAAATCAGGGTATAGATTCAACTTACCTTTGGCCATTATATGCTTTTGCAGTCCAAACATGACTGACGGCTGGAGACACACAAGATTCAAGAGTGTAGCGCCCTAGACGACCAACAAACGATTGGGAGGCCCTCAAACACATTATACTTGCATATCTGGGTGGCAAGAGGCTCAAGTTGTGAAGAGAGATGGTAGGTATTACGATGCATCTTTGATTTGATTTCAGCCCTGAAGACTTGGCCTAGTTAACCAGTTAACTGGGAGTTCGTCGGGTCATAACCATAAGCCATTTTCAACATGCCGCTCGCTCCATGCACCACATATCAAAAAAAAAAAAAAAAAAAAAGGTGAAGTAGAAGAAGTCATAAGAGGAAATCGGATAAAGGGAAAGGAAAAAGGAGTAAAAAAGGAGGACAGACGAAGGTTCGAACGAGCGGCAAAAAGCGAAGCCGCAGCGCTGTCCACACACAATGCGTGGCCAATACGCTCCGGGAAGACTGCTATGTAGGTCATTTGGCCTCTTCGCTGTTAGACTCGGAGTGTGACAGCGTACATAGCGTCCCCGAAAGGCTCTCGGGGTTACGGAACTGGTCTTCGCAGGTGGAAACATCAGTGGATACCATCGACCACTTGGGATTGATGGTGGTAATGACTCAAAGATGCGAATGCTATTGAATAAAATACTCTATATTAAATATCAAATAAAGTCTATAAAGTTGCCCAAATGGCAGAAAAGCTGAAGATATGAAACAAAAGATGGTAGAACTGGAAACAGACTGGTTATGCCAAGCGGGATGGCAATCAATAGGGGATGTTGTTCGTCATGAGTTGGAACTGATCATAGCCCTTGGTCGACATGCTGGCGTAACTCTTCCTGATGAGCTCTCTCATATATTGCGCTGCCTCTTGTTCACTCTTCTCTAGGACAAATCGGTCGCGGAAGTTGGTCAGCGTATGGGGCGTGAAGCATGGAAGACCGCTGTCCAGCATGAGGGTTACGATGTTTGAGAGCTTCATAGTATAAGGTCTTGAAGCAAGGAAAGCTTTAACCACAAGTGATTCAAACCAACGGTATGATTGAGAGTTGTTGTACGATGCGGAATGAGAGGTGGATGTAGTGGCTGTAGAAGCTGTGGCTGAGGCAGCCGTTGACGAAGACGGATGGTATCCTCCCATGACAGCAATCATCTCTGTGGTTAGTTTGAACGGAGCACGCTCGAACCGTACACCGCCAGGCGCAATATCAAAGCAAAACCCAAAGTCGATGTGGATGATATGGCCTGCGTCATCAATCATGATATTGCCGTTATGTCGGTCTTTGAACTGCAACAGGTATGAAATAACTGAATATGCAGCCATGCTTTTCACAAAGTTGCTTCGGGCTTCTTGGAATTTAATCGACTGCTCTCCTCCGTACTTCGATACGAAGTAATCATACAGACCGTTGACAGCTTCACGGCCCAGCATGTCTCGAGATATCGAGTTGGGTAAGACATCGATCACGCCGCATCCAGGGGCGGTGGCCACAACACGGTATGGGAAGACAAAGACGTCCAATCCAACGCTCGCAAAGATTTCACGGAATGCAGCAATCATTTGAAGTGCGAGGACGTCTTGACGGCAGTCGTCTCCGACTTTGAATATAGCAGATTGCCATACCTCATATGTTCCCGCTTGAGACGCAGCTAGGCTCTCACGTTTGCTTTGTACAGCGGATTCTTTAACCTGGGACAGCTGCAAATTTGCTTCCTCGTGATCCGCCTCTTCGGCGGGAGTAGCAGCGTTGCTGCCGTCTTCGATATTCCTCGTCTTCTTGATTCGGAACGTTGCCATGTAAGGCGCCTTTGCGTGACTCTGCAAGGGCTTTCCGGACTTTCGATCGATGCCGACAACAACCCCATCTGGGTTACTTGGCAAATACACGCCAACCTCGACCTTTATCTTTCGCAGCTCCTCCGTGATCTTCTCTTTCTTCTCTTGTTTGGTACGTTTGATGTATGGCCGTAGTTTGCCTGAAATACCGGTGATCTCGTTGAAGAACGCGAATTCTCTCTCATAGAATTCTTTGTCTTCGTCCGTGAAGCTGGCAATAACAGAGTCCATAAATCTATCCAGCACAGGTTTGAGTGGATCAGGCTATTTGTTCGTTAGCTTTGGATATCCATAACACTGTTCGAGGTACTTACAATCTGAGAGTCTTCATCCTTGTAGGCGTTTGCTTTCATATTCCAGATGACTTGGTGGGCGAACATCTGTGACAACTGGGCTGTATTTGAAAGGTAACGTTCTATATATCCCAGTGCATCATAGCGAAGAGCCTGCACGAGCTGTGGAACATAGAAAAGGCCAACATCGACGGGGAAGCTCTCGAGGGATCGAAGGGCATATTGCAAAATAAACGGATGGTTACCATACGCTGGCAACAGATAAGTGACAGCTGAGATCGGATCGATCGGCTCCCAATAGAGGAGGTACTGCATTGCCGTTAGGAAAGTGTACAAACACCTTGGGGAAATAGTCTAATTTACCTTGAGCTGGAATGAGACATCCTCCGGAAGAGCTGACCCAAGTAGAATCTCCAAAGCGTTTGGTTCCTTAAGTGCCTTTTCAGGGAAGTTAAGTAGAAGCCATCTGATATCAGTTCGCAGTTTAGCAGATGGGAACCGTGATCCTAGCTGAAGTGCTAGGCTTGGGTTCTCATTCCATGCCAATCGAAGAAGTCCCGCGACAGTCTCCTAAAGCAAATAATTAGCAACTGGCTATTCTGAGGCGGTAAAGTAAGGAGCTTACCTCGGTGACGGTCTTGTTACCAGTTCCATAGAAGAAGTACGATTTCTTTTCTAAATCGAGTGGAGAAAGCCAGACTTTAAGTCGAGAGCGCTCATTTCCAATCAGAATGAGGAGTAGGTCGTGCTTTGCTTGCAGCGATTTATGAGACTTTGAATCCACTACCTCTTTCCAAGATACTGTCTCCAGCATAGACTCTATATCGTGGAGGACCTGATCTTCAGCTTTGAGCTGCAAGCGATTTCCTCCGAACGACCACCTAAAAATATTTAGTTAGTATCATCCTAGGAAGTGAGATTAAAATAATAACTTACCTTGGAGAGTGGCTGAACCAGCTCAGTGCAGCAGAGAGGATTTGATCTTTGAGTTTCCAGGAACTAACATTACTCTGTCCGGAGAATGAATGGAGCACCTTGAGACTGAAAAGGACGATGTGGAAGTGAATCTCGCGAGCTAGTGGGTGGCCTGTAGAATCTCTCAAGGCAATCAATGTCTCACTGACCAGGCGTCTAAACACCTGCTGGGTATTCAAGCTGCCCAGCCTGCTTGCGCTGAAATGGCTTTCTAGGAACTGCAAAGCCAGGAAATGAGGAGATATGACGTTCTGAGCTTTCTTGTGACGCCGGACGATCGCTTCTTTATCCGATGGGGATGATTCAAGCTTGTTCATAAAAGGATTTTTATGTCTAAGAAATGTTAGCCAGGGCAGGATTCAAGAAACTGACAGAAGATAGCTTACTTGAAGTTCGGATCGAAGATTCCTTGCTTGCGACGAATAGTACGTTCCCATGCCTGCGCTACTTCTACCAATATTCTGGATTCCATAGCTGGTTTTTCATTGATAACTCCTAGCCACAGAGCAATTCCCATCCTGATGGACTCCTTCGTAAATATCTGGAAGGGAATGCTGACTAGGTAAGCGATAATTGTCGCATGGCTATCATCCGTATTACACAAGAGAGCAGCGGCGCGGCGAAGAATGTGTCGAGGAAGGTCCAGAGAAATATGCTTCTCTGTTCTAATTTGATGCTCGAGGGCTGCGAGAGCTTCCTGCACAGTGTCAGGGTAATCAGTCACCCGGGCGGTGGTGCTTTGACCTATTGAATATATTAGAAGGTTGATACCATAGCCCAAATCAAACAATTAAATACCATAAGATATCGCTAGAGGAGACTTTCCTCTGCGAGCTGGGGCAGCTTCAGAGTACCGGTACTCTTGTCGAGTAGTATACTGAGAAATGAAGTCGGAAGCAACATTGAGAACAGTGCCGCCTGGGTTATCAATCGATCCTATCGGCCGTTAATGAAAGCTCAGAGTATAAATGATTGATATAAGAACTTATATACCTAATCGTTGGTCGGCAAAGGGTATTGCCGAACCCATCTCAAGCGCTAACGAACGGCCCATGTTTATATTTCCGTACACGCCATCATCATCGTAATCAGAAAGGTACGTCTATGAGAGAAAAAATATTAGCGAAATTTGTTGCGTTGGTTGGGGTTTATATCTCACCTGCAGTAGCCCCTTGATATCTAAAGGTGCGATGTTCATAACATTTGAGATCCAAGTGCGTGCTGAGTTATGGAGGTTTTTCAAGGTGCGCCTCCTAAAATCATAATTGTCTGATAAAACAACCTGGACCGTCCGCCTGCTTGAAGTGAAAGTAGAGTTCCATGCAAACTCATCCATTTCCTCGTCCATGCACGATGACCAGAGCAAAGTAATTAAGTCGAGCAGAGTAAACAATGAGAGCTTCTGGCAAAGGGCTGACGGGCATTGCATGATTATCTTATTTGCAGCCAATGTAGCAGTTTGTTGGACTTGGACGATACGATGGCAACAAGCAGTAAAAGTATCAGCTAGCTGTTTGGCGATATAAGGGGCCGAGAACTTCACGGATGTGCTTCGGAGAGTTTTCTCAAGGTAGACGGTCACAACTTTATCCGCAATTGCTCTCATGCAATTGCCCATTTCCGAGGCACCCAAGGTTGGGTCGAGGAAGTAGGTGAACACTTTGGTGCAATCTCCAGAATTAGCACGGAGGGTTTCTATGAGTAGCGTTGCATTGAGGAAGAGTGCCTTGGGGTAGTTCAAGCGTCGGATATCATGTTCTTGTGCCGGCAGCTCGGCAGTTAGGTTCTTTTTCTTTTCAACGGTTGTCTGAGGGCTCTGGCCACGCCTTAGAATTGTATTCAACTCAATGTCACTCTCGAGCAGTTCAGCGCGGTTCTCGGAGACAAGCGGAGGAGAGTGTTCCGCGAGGATACGTAGCTGTTCGTAGTTCGCCTTTCCAAGCTCTGAGTGAAGTGATATATCATGGGCTGCAATGTTGAACCACGCATCCCGGAGCATATCTGTGATATCGTCATTGTCACACACTCCAGAGGCTAACTGATCTAGACGACCTGCCCTAGCTAGTAGTATAGCAAGAGGTTTCAATATTGGGGCGATTTGTTTAGCAGTTGCCTCAAGATCCTCTGGATGGACCTTTTCACGTTCGACGGCAGCTCCCTGGTTAACTAAGCTCTCAAGGAGGAACACAAGATAGATCTTGAACACTTCACTATTTCGGTCGAGATTTGCTGCAAGGTAATTTCTTGCTTTGTGTATCTACTGATATATTAGAAATCCATAGAATAAAGTTAAATAGCTAGATGAAAGGAGCTTGGGACTTACCGCCTCCAGCATGAGGTTATTCCCCTGAGCAACAGTATCTCGCAGTAGACGAGAGTAGAACTTCAGCAAGAGACGGAACTCCGCAGGCTCACTCTTCAATGAAAGAGCTGCAGTCTCCTGGATAATATATGCATCGACTACGACATTCGCCTTGCCAATCTTCTGCACCAGAATCGACTGTGCAAGGGCGACAATCTTGCTATCTTCACTATAAGTGGCGATTGTTACAATGGCATGTACCACATTTCTAGCTGTGACAGAGGTATCACCCTCTCCATCAATAGCAAGGGATAAGAAGCTCTCATTCGTGGGGGGAGCACGAGTCTCTATCGAATGAGAATAGCCAGTGCCTGACTCGGCAGTTAGAGCAGTGGCAGCCTTGTCAGCTGCCGACCCAGAGCTAAGGACGTTTCCGAGAGAATATAGGGTGCCTATGACGGTATCTTGGGAAAGAAGCCGGAGGTTCTGGGCCAAACATTGGGCAGCCAGTGCGACAACAGGGCTGCTTTGGCCATTTTGGACAATGAAGCGAAGAAGAGAGCGGGTTAGCCCGTTTGCACTGCCTCGGGATAGCCTTGCTAGAATTACAGCAGCCTTAAGGACAACAGTAGCTAGGTCCTTGTTCATCATTTGGTCTGGATCTGAAATGGTATTGTCTAGGGATGTGAAGAGCAGGTCTAGATCCACAGAATCCTGGTCAACCATGATGCAGTTGATAGAGCACATTATTGACAAAGCCTTGACCAAGAATGCAAGGCGCTGTTGCCAAGTGGAGCTAACTTGTAGGTAATCCGACCCTTCTTCGAGGAGATTGATCTGGTCACCCGCGATTTCTGCAGCGTATTTTACCAGACTCATCATCCCGCGGTCTGAGGATTTAGCTACATAGCCACTGTCTGCATATCGGGAGAGAAGGGTATCATCTGGCAGCGGTGGGGCTTTATCATTTTCAACAGGAGATGTGCAGGACTTTAGAAAGCCCATGAAGGCCTGTTGTAGCAGCATGGAGCCAAGGGGCCGTCCATCAGCCGCATACTGGCGGGTGTACCGTCTCCAGTCGTGCAGCAAAGGATCTGGAGAGCGAGAGTTCCGTATGCCGGAAGAGATGGTCTCCACAGCTACCAGGAACCTCTCTGATAGAATGATGTGTAACTGCTTTACAATAGCAAGGCGATCCAGTGGTGCCCAAAAATGGGGGAACTTGGACGAGGCCCGGAGAAATCCCACTAGCGATACCATTAGAGTAGTCACATCCGTAGATTCATGGCTCTCGACCTGTATCCCTGACCCATCTGCATCAAAAACGGCCGGCAGGCGGTCTGTTGCCTGGTGACAATTTTCCAAGTACTCGTCAATGGCTTCGTGGACGTCATCCTGCAGCGACTTGTGCCTAGAGCCCAATGAAAGCAACGCCGTAACAACATCATGGGTCAGGGTTTCCCACGGCGAGGGTTTGTAAATATGTAGGAAGGGAGACGAATGGATGCGGAGCGTATGGAGCGTAGGTAGGTACCCAGCCAGCAGAGAGGCAAGTTTTGCAGCATGGTCACCACGCTGAACAGAGCCAGCTGCCCTGCACAGAGCAACCAGGACGTCTAGTTCTCGAACCCCCTATCTTCCTAATTAGCCACTTTCTCACGCAGATGCCATTGAAAGAGGGGGGGAGTGTAGGTATGAGGCAGTAAAGGGGGCAGTACACTCGAGGCGCAGCGAGCCTGGGAGCCACCGGGAGCCGCCTTAGAGCCATTACAGGCACTTATGAGCCTCTCGACGTCTGAATTGCCCTGATCATCGTCCTGCCCGGGGTGTTTTGTGGCTAGTATCGCAAGTTTCTCGAGCGCCGCACGCCGGATATACGATGGTGAATGATGCCTGAAGCTCTCCCCCGGCGGTTAGTTAGCAACGTCTGCGCCCAACGTAGCACCAACACAGGGCGAGAACACCTACATATCCGGTCAACCAGCCTCGCCGTCATCCAGGAGGCCTTTTCTTTTTCGTGGTTCCAGGGATGCAGCGAGCGTGCCGTCGTGGGTTCTGGGCGGTGGTGAAGTGTATCAGAAGTGCTCTGCCTGCTGGAGATGCGAGTTGCTGAGAGGATCAACCCGCCAAGCCGAGTGTTTAGTGACGCCGGGGCAGAGAAACGACTGGACAGCAGGACGGCAAAGCGAGATGCATTTGATACACTCGATACGGGGGGAGGGAGGGGAGCACAGCCAGGGTTACGAACTCGTCCACTTGCTCCGAACAAGCCACTCTTCCTCTACAGGGTTTTCTTTTGCGCCTCTGGGCCTGTCTCTGTCTCCCGGCGTGTTGGGTGCGTGAAACCCGCTACATGCACGCCAGCATTGAAAAACAGTCTGCGCGAGAAAAGCCTCGATATCGACTTTTACGCCTTAGGTTATGATACGGAAACGTTTTTACAAGATGGCTGGATATTCGCATCCAAGCAGGAGTTGAAATAACAAAGTAAAAACAGGCAAAAATAAAGGATAAAAAACTGCGGGATGCGGCTCTAACGGGCGGCCAACCTTATATAAAGAGCGACTTCGCATGTTTCGAAAAAAAAAAAGGGTCGACAAGAAGTTCGCTCAGCCTGGCCTGCCATTGACTCTAAGCGCCGTCGTTCTCTTGCCTGGGGGCTTGCTGCAGCTTGGCCTGGGCTTGTCCGGCCTGGAACTGAGGCAGCCGAAAGATATTTATTTCGTCTCCGCACACCTAGTTAACTACCTCGGCGGCTGTCTCATAGTTGGGATATAGTACGGGGTAGCAGGTACACTCACGCTGGCCTCTCCCCTTGACTGCTTCTACCACCTTCAATAGCGGCACTGTTAGACCTTACTGCCACGGCAGAGTGTGTTCGGACTTGATTTTGCCTGCCATCGACTTGGGGGTGAGGCGTTGTGAAGCCATTGGCAGTCCATCCGGGGTATTCGTCACTACCGTCAACTTCTTCACATTGGACCAAACATGCCTCCACAGAGGGAGAGAAGCAATCTGAAGAGAGAAAGGGTAAGATGCGAACACGTTATAGCCATTGGTTTCTCAGGAAATACAAATATTCAAGCTGCTGCTAACTCATTCTTTGCCAAACCTGCAGGGCAACGCAGTTCCAGACCATGAATCAAAGAAGCCACGGAGATCCCCCCGAATCTCATCTCAATTGCAGCAGGATGCCGGATATCTACCTTCTCCCCTAGTCAACGAGGTAATTTCAGAAGAAAAGCGTGAAGTTGCTACAGTTTCTCCCCCAGAAGGCCGCCGAAAAGAGGCGCCTCGAGGTCAATCGCCAGACGAGTCTTCATGTCCCACCCAGGGTTTCTCTCAGTATCCCCCAATCCAATCCATTGACGATGTGGAAGACGAGGCGGCCCAGGGCATATGGGGATACCTCACTCCGCTAGATAACAATTTTGGAGGCCAATTGGTTCTGAAGAAGCGGGACAGCACAAATACTACACCGGTAATTGGAGCGGCATCAGACATATCAACACCGGAAAGCGCCACCTCGAAGCGTGGAACTAGAGAGATAAACCGCGCTGGATATCTTATAGGCCGACACGCAGAGTGCGGTATGTTTTACCCGTCGCATACTCTCCGCCGTGTAGTGATGATCCATTGCTAACCATCTGGTACTGTAGATTTCAGGATCAAGCTCCCCACGATATCCAACCGCCATTGTCTGATATTCCACGAAAACAGAGGAGGAGACTTTGTTGCAATTGTAGAAGATCTCTCTATCAATGGCACTTTCATCAACGACGCCATCATCGGCAGGAACAAACGCCGAGAGCTCGAAAATGGCGACGAGATTACCATCTTGCAAGAATCCAGATTCATCTTCAACTACCCGCGGAGTCGGAACACAAGCAAGTTCCGACAGCAGTATAAGCTCTTCGACATGCTGGGCAGGGGACACTTTGCCTCGGTTTATCTATGCGCTGAACGTTCTACTGGGGTGAAGTATGCCGTCAAACATTTCGAGAAACGCCCAGGCGCTGTTCAGAGGCTAGACCGCGAGGCACTACAGCAAGAGATTTCGATGTTGATGAGTGTCAACCATCCGAATATGCTGTGTCTAAAGGATACTTTTGACGAGAGTGACGGTGTTTACCTGATTCTTGAACTTGCGCCAGAGGGTGAACTGTTCAACTGGATCATTAGGCATCAGAAACTCAGCGAGGAGGAGACACGAAAAGTATTCATTCAGCTTTTTGAAGGCTTGAAATACCTGGTATGTCGTTCGTTTTTCGTTCAACCATACTTGTGACAATGTATACGGCTAACGGTTATCGTAGCATGAACGAAATATCATTCACCGTGACATAAAGCCGGAGAACATTCTGGTTGTTGACAAAGATCTTACCGTAAAATTAGCAGACTTCGGCCTCGCAAAGATTGTCGGTGAACACTCCTTCACCACCACGCTGTAAGTTCACCATCTTTTGCCGTCCAAATTGGGGTCAATTTTACTAAGATTATCAACCTAGATGTGGAACACCTGGCTGTAAGTTTCCCTATTGTTCTGTTAACCCTGTTGCATCTAACACTTCTTATCAGATGTTGCTCCTGAGATACTGGCAGAAAATGCTGTAGCCAGGATGTACACACGGGCCGTTGACATCTGGTCACTTGGAGTGGTGCTCTACATCTGCCTGTGCGGATTCCCTCCCTTTTCAGATGAGCTGTACCACCCAAAAGAGTACCCATACACTCAGAAAGAGCAGATCCAGCTCGGATACTTCAAGTATCCTTCCCCGTACTGGGACTCAATCGACTATAGCGCCATGGACCTTATCGACTCTATGATTGAAGTCGACGTGAAGGAGCGTTTGAAAGTTGATGAATGTCTCGAGCACCCATGGATCACTGGCATCGACCCCGATGAGCCCAGGGTCGCAGACAGCACCGATGACCTCGCCGGGGCTATCGGTGGCCTCAGGGTGTCAAAAGAACGTCGACCAACTATGGTCCGCAGGCTGCTGAGTGACATTCATGAAGTCACGGTCAAGCAAGTGGTGAAGACAAAGGAAGACGACCCTTCCTCCCAGAACATAACTATATACCAGAATCACCCCGTGCCTCAAGCCCAGGAGCCCAAACCGGCTGGCAATCGGAACTCAAAGGAGTTCATGGAACTCGGTGGAAGTGGAGACCAGGTGCTATTCGATGAGCAGTCTGACGACTCGCTGGAGCTTGAGAGTGAGGCACGGAAGCCGGTTGTCCATCAGGACGACGCAGACAAGACTCCACGAGGAAGCAAGAGGTAGCAGAAGCCCATCCGTCCCGGGATGATACCACTAGCCACACCCTGCTATTCCGGAATTTTGTTTTCAACTCTCTTTTCTTTCATACCTTTTCCATTTATATTGTGGTTTTTTTTTCTTAATTTTTTCTTTGACTATACCCCCAGGTTGAAAGGTGAAAGGGGGCCACCTAAACGAAAAGCAAAACTTGGCTTGGTCACTGCCTTGGAGACGACGGCGATTCTCGTGTTTAAGGATTCCATTTTGTGCGATATAACTATGGGTACAATAGCGTCCACTGGGCAATGTAATTACAGTCTCTTCTCGCTCATCAGACAACAATAATAATAATGGCTTTGATATTGAAAGCCGTTAATAGCTTAAGCTGCCATGACTAAGCCGGCCGGCCTCCCTGAAGCCGCGATGGCCTGATGCGCCCACCGTCAGGTCGCTCTCAGGCAGCAGAGATCCCGCGAACAAGGTGACGCCCTGCAGGAACACCGTCCAAGGCCGTCTCCGCCTGTCGCGTGCTCGAAATGTAATCATCTCGACGGCCGTTGGCCTGCGCACCGCAAGGGAGAAAAGGGGGGTGGGAGAAGCTGCGGTAATGTTGGTATTGGAGATACAGCCGTAAACCAATTAAAACCACGTAAAATACCAGGAACAATGCATTATCTTACAATACCGTACGCCCCTTGCATAAAATGCGAGTTCGATCTCAAGGTCGACATTTTTTTTTTCCTTGCTTCGTCCGCAGCTTCAGGCATACCAAAACAACGAACAAGTCTCGAGCGGAAGCAGAAGAAGAGGCAGAAGCAGGAGGATAAGAAGACGAACCAGTCACCATGGGCCTCTTAGCCGACATTGTCTCTCGTTTCTGCGAGAACTGCTCGACCCTGTCCACCGCCGCCCTCGTCGCAAGTGCCGTATCGGCTTTTATCGTCCTCTCCATTGTTATCAACGTCCTGCAGCAGCTCCTGTTCAAGGACCCTACAAAGCCTCCGGTGGTCTTCCACTGGGTTCCGATCATTGGGAGCACGATCTCCTATGGAATTGACCCATACAAGTTCTTTGACGACTGCAAGGAGAAGGTTAGTTGGCGGAATTCAACTAGCTAGCTTATACCAGGAGAATGCGCAAAGCTAACGTATACATAATTTCGGTATTCTAGTATGGAGATATCTTCACATTCATACTCCTGGGCAAGAAGACGACTGTTTTCCTTGGTACAAAGGGAAATGATTTCATTTTGAACGGAAAGCTCAAGGATGTTTGCGCGGAGGATGTCTACTCCCCTCTCACCACCCCGGTGTTCGGACGACATGTGGTGTATGATTGCCCAAACTCCAAGCTCATGGAGCAGAAGAAGGTGTGTACAGCAATTTATTTTCCCGTCTCAATCTCCTGGCTATCCATTGCTAATTTAACCGCCTGCTAGTTCGTCAAGTTCGGCCTCACCTCTGAAGCTCTCCGATCCTATGTCACCCTGATCACCAAAGAAGTCGAGCAGTTCTTCGAGTCCTCTCCCATCTTCAAGGGCGACTCCGGACTTTTCAATGTCAGCAAGGTCATGGCTGAAATCACCATCTACACCGCCTCTCGATCTCTACAGGGTAAAGAGGTGCGCGGAAAGTTCGATTCCAGCTTTGCGGAACTCTACTCCGATCTCGACATGGGCTTCGCCGCCATCAACTTCATGTTCCCATGGTTCCCCTTCCCACACAACCGCAAGCGTGACCGTGCTCAAAGGAAGATGGCCCAGGTTTACACCGACATCATCCGTCAGCGACGTGAGGCTGGTGGAGAGAAAGACTCCGAGGACATGGTATGGAACTTGATGTCGTCCGTGTACAAGAATGGAACGCCAATTCCAGATATCGAGGTTGCCCACATGATGATTGCTCTACTTATGGCTGGCCAGCACTCTTCTTCCTCCACCGGCTCCTGGATTGTTCTCCGCCTTGCCAGCCGTCCAGATATTCTCGAGGAGCTCTACGAGGAACAGAAACGTGTTCTCGGCGAGGATCTTCCACCACTCACCTACGAATCCCTTCAGAAACTCGACCTTCACAACAATGTAATCAAGGAGACTCTCCGCCTTCACGCTCCAATTCACTCCATCCTCCGTGCTGTCAAATCCCCTATGCCCGTTGAAGGAACCAACTATGTTGTCCCGATCTCTCACAACCTCCTTGCTGCTCCCGGTGTTCCATCACGAGACCCTCAGTACTTCCCTGACCCCCTGGTCTGGAACCCTCACCGATGGGAGAACAACGTCGGTGTCACCGTAGTCGAGGCCAGTGAAGAAAAGACAGATTACGGATATGGTCTGGTTAGCAAGGGTGCCAACAGTCCTTACCTCCCATTCGGCTCAGGCAGACACAGATGCATCGGTGAACAATTTGCATATGTTCAGCTTGGAACCGTAACAGCTACGCTGGCCAGACTAATGAAATGGAAGCAAGTTGAAGGCACCAAAGATGTGGTGCCGCCAACTGACTATTCGGTAAGTTTCGCATATTACGCTCCTTTTTCTTGCTCGATTTTACTAACTTGTCATTAATAGTCCCTCTTCTCGAAGCCACTTGGCAACCCAATGGTCTCGTGGGAGAAACGAAAGCAGCCTTCTCAGAAATGATAATCACGATTGCGGATTGAATCATGTTAATTTCTTGCTTCTTGCTCATTTATTTCTTCTCTTTTTCTTACGTTTATACACCGAGCCATATTTGCACTTTATGGTCATGCAAATAGGATTTCGGATAGAGCATATGTAATAAAATCTTTCTTTTGACCATGCTTCGAAGATGGGGGGTGTAGATAACAGTATTAATCTAATACAACCGTTTATTACAATACTCTCTAGGTGGACAGGAAAGTTGCAGTTACTCCGTTAGCTTTGGTACAAAAAAAATGGTAATATACATTGGAAATAGTACATCTTCCCGTAGCTGGGATAATCTAGCGTCTAAACAGCGATATCCAAGCCAGTAACATCAGGAAGTAACCAGCCAGCAACGTCGTTAATCTCGTGCTCCCCTTTCAACTCCGACGCTACGAAACGCCTAAGCAGCTGCCTGAGCATTCCTTCTCTCCGCCAAAGCTCTCTTCGCCCTGATCTCCTTCTGTCTTCTCTGACCACCATCAATCTTTCTACCACGCTTATGCTCCCACATGCCGTCAGTAACCTGAACCTTGACCGCGGTACTCCATGTGTTTGGAATAATCTGAGCATACGGCCCCTTGATCATATTGCCGTGATGCAATTTATAATGGGCAAACTTTTTGAGCGGCTTAGATGTATCCTTGAGCTCTGTTTCGCCTGGCGGTAGATTGACAATCGCATAACGCATTCCAGGTGTAAGGGTAGCGGTGCCCATTGTGTTGACATCTAGGGACTCTCCATCGGCGTTTGTAGTTTTTGGACTCTTTGACTTTTCGACGGGAACCTCAACAGCTCTCAGCTCAGCAACACCGTCAACAACGTTTTCGAAATCACCTCCTGGGCCGTAGTCCTGCTGTCTGAATTTCTCTCTCCACCGCAGTATGTATCGTCTGTCCCTTGTCATTTCTATGCCCAATTCTCGAAGCTCAGCCGAGTCCGCTGTAAACAATTGCTTCCATCCAGTGATTTTGCTGGAATATCTGGACATGTTTCGCCCAATTAGGCGTAGGAATGTTTCGACATCGGGCACGAATGGGGTAGGTGATGGCACTGTTGCGGGTTTTCGAGAATGGTGAAGGTATCGTACGCAAGGTTGGTAAGGAGGGTTTGTGACGGAAGTGAAGAGTCGTAGTGGAAGGGATGCTCTGGCATTAAAGCCCGGTATACGCGCCGCAGCCATGGTGGTTATATCGCCTTATATCAAACCGTTCAATGTCGAGGTCTCGGGGGTGAGGATTTTAATTTTGCTCGTGCTGTAAGAACACCATCGGCGGGTGTGACGAGAGCGAAAACAGGCACAACACCAAGGGCGTAGGTAAACCGGTAAGGGCCTCAAAGCGAGTCAATCCAATGCCCAATGGTGCTGTATAGAAGACGTTCAACTGGCTCTTCGTCTTCGTTCCAACAAGATTTTGCACCAAAATTTTGAATTGCCCGACGGGACCTACCTAACACTTCGCTCGGATCAACAAAACGCCGATCTCCGGTTGAGCTCGGGCCAACCAAAGCTTCCATCGCAACATTCAAAGATGAAAGACGACGATATATATTCTGCTAACAGACAAAGGTGTATTGATTAAATATTAGGAGGACTGTTCGGTTCAGTGTCTCACTATTGTACTACCTTATCCTTTGTCTCGAGAAATTGGCGGAATCCAATTTCTCTTGACATTATGGCAGTGTCGCCGCTCCCCTCTCAATTCCCTCCCATCACTACTACAGGTGCTCCAAAATCTCTAGCTATGAGAAATATTGCTTCTCAAGAACCTCGAACAGCACCTAGTGGTGATTCTGCAGCTTCGAAGCCTTCTATGCCTGAACCAGAGCTGGCAGAGCAGTTAAACGCTGATGTACGGCGGAAATATGTCAAAGGTGGGCGGGCACATGTACTTCAACCATCGGGGGTCTCATATGCTAACATCTGGTTATTTTGAAAGATAAGAAGCTCGGTGAAGGTACATATGCAGTTGTGTACCTAGGCCATCTACGAGACGATCCCACTTCGCTCGTTGCAATAAAGAAAATAAAACTAAACGCCGAGTACAAGGACGGGCTATCCATGGACGCCATCCGTGAAGTAAAATACCTTCAGGAGCTGTCTCATCCGAACGTCATTGCATTGCATGACGTTTTCTCCTCCAAAGACCAAAATCTAAATCTCGTTCTTGAATTTTTACCCCTTGGAGATCTTGAAATGTTGATCAAAGACAACTCTATCCAGTACGGTGTGGCTGATATAAAAGCATGGATAAGCATGCTTGCACGTGGAGTTTGGTTCTGTCATAAGAATTTCATTCTACACCGTGATATTAAACCTAACAACTTGTTAATTGCATCGGATGGAGAAGTTAAATTGGCGGATTTCGGTCTCGCCAGATCATTTGCTGATCCATACCTCAACATGACACACCAAGTCATCACACGATGGTACAGGCCATTGGAACTACTCTTCGGCGCCAGGCAATATTCCGGTGCAGTCGACATATGGTCTATGGGAATGGTGTTCGCTGAGCTTATTCTGCGCGTCCCTTTCGCCGCTGGAAACACAGATATGGACCAAATATCTAAAATTTGTGCTGCATTTGGGGCACCTACGGAAGAAAACTGGCCTGGGGTGACAAAGCTACCCAACTACGTCCCAATTGAGGAAAACCATGTCATACCCCTACAAGGCCGGGAATTTTTCCTCCGCCAGTTTCCGACAGCTGGACCTTTGGGGGCCGACCTACTCGCCTCTATGTTAAAACTTGACCCAAGGAAACGAATTACGGCCACTCAAGTCTTGCAGCATCAGTGGTGGCTTGCCGAACCTAAACCAACTAAGAACGAGGACTTGCCTAGGAAGGCAGGGGGAGAAAAGAAAATGGGCAACGATATGGGCAGACGAGTTGGTGAGATTGACGAGTCAAAATTTAAAGGAGTGTCCCGTCAACTTGATTTTGGAGCTATGAAGAAGTGAGGGGATCCGACTTTCCTTGGACCGGGATATAATACCCACAGATTCTCGCCTCCGTGGTTAGAAAACAAGCAGATATCGCATACCCAAAAATATATGCTACAGGAAAAGTGATGCTCAACATTCTGAACTGATCCTGTTTGGGGATACAGTGCTGTGCGAGCACTGGCCACAATAAGAGCCCACATTGTTAACCAGCCGCAGCCTTACAGATACGGAGGAGACGCAAGTAGAACCCCCCTATACCGCACTCAGGAAGCAGATATAGGTAACTATATGCTTTCAAGAGCCAGATAGTTCCCTGATGGTCACAAATCAGGTGGAGTTGCTTGGCCTTGACTGATCTATCAAAGAAAACGGAATATCGCCTAATTTGAAGGCCCCCTTAAAGTAATGGGTTGAACTTCAAAAAGCAGCATACTACTCGATAACGTCTAATTCCCCTCAGTGCTGCAGGGTTCAGTGTGTACTTGGCATCATATATAATCTGATAGAATTGGCCTTGAGCGTGCCATGCATAGAGACGTTGATGATATGGTTTCAATATAATTCTATGGGAGTTATCGCTTTCCAACATAAACCTATGACTAGCTGTAAACCACCTGACCATCCGGTCACTTTTTCGGTTGAAGCGGCTCCCACGAAGGTACTCTTGTTCCTGCATCTGAGTCCATGAGCTCGTTCGTTGGTAGTGATTTCGTAGCTTGTGATACTGACGAGGTAGTGGCTCCGCCAGCCTTACCAGTATATGCTTGTTCTTGGTAATCCTTGATATGGTGAAGAGTGGATGGGTTAACCATTTCGTATCCACTGGAGACACCATTACTTGAGGCGGGTTTCCGATCGCTTTCGCCGGATGAATGTCGTCTCAATTTTGCTGGTTTCCTAGGTATCGGAGGCGGTATCTTTACCGATTTTACTGTTTTGCTGCTGACGGCAACCTTAGAGGTTTGAGGCATGTCTGTGGAAAGCGATTCAGGGCCGCCTATAACTTCTCCCACAGATCTAAATGGCTCTCTGTTTGTGGAGGATGCCTTTTTCGACTCTCGTAGGTCCTGCTCGCTCATTTCGCTCAAAGCATCATCTCTTCCGACATTAATCCAATCAGACCCCCGAGAAAATGAAAAAGGATTGGCACTTCGCCGGACATTGCTCACAGCACCAAGGGGTGGAGTAATAGTTGATCGAGCAGGAAGGCCTATAAAATTGTTAGCTCTAACATATCAACGCTAACAGTCGACTAAGTCAAATAAATATACTCACCGTGATCAAGCCACCACTTGCGCTTTTCGGAGCTAGGAGGTGGAAGGCCTGGGTTTATCGGGTACATTGGCTCATTCTCATCTTCCTCATCATCAGACAACGGGTTTGTAGCTGCGGTGGTAGGTTGTTGCTTCAGTTTTTCATAAAGCTGATGGCTTATTTCTTCCTTTCGCTTCTCATCTACCGTCGATATGTCGCACTCGAATGTTGCATATACGGGTCGATGGTCCGAAAATTTCAGGGGTGCAGTCTTATAGGCTAGCTGACGTAGAATTCTTCCTCTCCAAAGGATCCTGTCGCACCAGGCGGGGATTCTTTGCTTTTCTCTGGAAATATTATCAGTCTTTAAAGATCCAAACGGATGGACTGCCTCTCAAACTTACGAGGTGTCATATTCATCTGTGCCATTGTCGTATCTATATGTTGGAGGGAATGTGACAGGCCCTTCCATATAATACTGGAATGCAAGGCCAGCAACCATTTGGAGGTTAAGCTATTGAAAGTTAGTAGTGATCAGGGCATATATTCGCACATCAAGAAAAATACCTGGTCATGCTGATATAGTACATCTATATCTCCCGATTCAATTAGAGGTCTCACGCGCTCATTGCTAAGGCCAATCCTATAGTTGAAATCACCGAACCAGATGGTTGCATCATGTCCGACAATAGGTCTGTTTCGTTGGAACCTAAGACCCCGAGCTATGGTGTGGTAGTCTCTGTTTCTTTCTTCGTAGTTCGAGAAGCCAGCAGCTAAATGAGCAGTGATAAAGCATATCGACGTATTGCTATAGTCCAAGCGGATAGCAACAGCACCCTTATTCCCTCCCATTCCGGATAAGCCAGTCTATTATTCGGTCCAGTTAGCCCTGTTTCCCAAGAGATATATATTCACAGGATGAATACCTTCTTCAAGCTGCCTTCCACATTCTTTATCTTATTTATAACGTCCTTTTTTACGAACAGCAGGAGTGCTGCGCCTACTAGCTGGCCACTCCTCAGCAAAACGTACTCGGTCGTTTTTCTCTTCGTGGTCCTGGCATTGAGTGATGATATAACTGCGTGCTCCCAAATCTTGCGCGTGCTTGGGTCAGTGGACATAATCTGCTGGGGGCTAAGCTCAACAATCTCTTGGAATCCAACAGCAACTATCGTAGGATCCTCAGGAAGCTGGTTAAGAGAGCCATGCAACCATGGGCCCAGTCCTTCAGTAGCTCCTTCACGGCGTCCGTTGATGTTAAACGTTCCAACCCATATATAAGTCTTTTCAGACGAGGTAAACTCGTTTACTCTCCGAGTAAGCTCAGCATTCACTGCATCTTTCACTGGATCAAACAGATACACCGACTCCTGGTTAGTCGAAAGGCCTAGTAGGGTATCTATAGTGATTTGTTTCGCAGGGTCGGTAAAGTTGTTAACAAAAAGACGAGTGGCACTCTTCCTTATGTCTGCGAAGGAACCAGCGACTGACATTGCTCCATGCCTAGTAAACGAAGACTTCAAGGCTCCAGTTCCAGCATATATTCTTGACAACATATCTCCGCTATCAGCCCATAGAGTCGAGTGCTTCATCCAGAAATCCGGTGATGCATGGCCATTCCACTGTGCAAAAAACATGTCAATTGCCATGCTACTAATCATGGTTTGGACCAGATTAGTCCTGTCCAAGCAGTCCAGGCAATTTGTTCGAAAGACACCTTCCTGTTGTAGTACAATATTCTTTTGTCTGAGAAGTCTGAGTTCTGCCGCTGAGAGATCCATTTCATTGCCCTGAGGTGCCTCGGATAGGAAATAAGCAAATCCTTCAACAGAGTCTGCTATAACATCCTGAATGGAACGGGCAGCCTCATACCCCGTTGTTTTCGTTTCAGCATGGAAGTCATATTCTGTTAGTTTCAATATATCATGCTCTGAGTTAGACTTTATATCACGATTCTGACGCAAAGGACTGCCCCGAACATGATACATATATCTTTGTGACAGCTCCGCTTCTCCAGACTTTGCTTTAGCAAGCAGGTTAATTGCATGTACAGCCCCATATTTCTCAGCTAAAGCCTCAAAGTGTTTATCAAATGCGGGTTGCGTAGCGCCTGCAGAGCGGCCGATAGCTATTTTCTGCTGTCCAGGTATATAACCAGCTTCCTGTTCCCAGAATATAGGTACAGAGCCTCGAATTTGGGTATAAGAAAAACACAAGGCAGGAGGTATCCATAGAATGGTTTCTGTCTCAACAAAGTTGGCAACGTTTCCATTGTCGTCAATACCTCTGGCGTTGAATCTAGTTCCGGCACGGCGAGAGGAAAGGCGCGATATTACTGTTAAGCTCGAGGGCATATTAGATTCAATGTGTGGGAACAGAGGTGACGAAGCAGGTATGGTTAAGGACTGAGCGAAGCCCCTAATGACGGATATAAGAAGCTGGGATGAGTCTAGACTCTGTCTATCATTCAGACTCAGTCCGCTTCTGAGCTGTAGTAAAGGCTTGATCATGAATGAATTCCACAGGAAATCTTCATCCAGGCTCTCAACATCGTAAGCAACCGGGTCATCAATTCTGGCGAAGTAAAAAAAAATATGAATTTAGCCGACGTCAAGTTCAGTCCGTTGAGTATACGTGATCTTACCTGTCCTGAATGCGTTCGGTCAGATTAAAGTCAGAGCTGTAATAGAAGCTTCCGTCACTCAGAAGCTTTTTCAATGCTAGAGATGGATTTTCTGCTGGAGATTCGTATCCTTGGTAACCTCTTCCATAAGGGTTATTATACGTATCAGACTCAGGATCCTGGACCAGGTCATAATCGGCTCTATTCAAGCAATCTATATTATATCTGTCAGCCTCATCCAATCAATGGAATACCGCAAGAAGTAGGAGACTGGAGATTTCGTACAGAAGTCAACACTGTCTATCCTTTGGACTGTTTCTCCGGGCCTCACGCTGGCGACATTGGTTGCTTGGTTGACGATGCATATAAAAACCTCACCAGCCGCGAGCGCGATGAGACCGAGCGTTCCAAGTCCAGTTCCCAACGTGCGATACTCAGCCAGGGGTATCGAATCGGCCGTAGTAAACTCAACAATACATTTTGGAATGCTCAGAACCTGTACGTTCCCGGATACTTCTTCGCTTGACTGGTGATGGCGCATGGTGAGGGCGTAGCCATTTGCCACGAGGACAACTGTGCGGTCCGGCGCATCCTTGCAGAGGACTCGCACAGCCATCGCGTGAGGTAGTTTTTTTTTTGGGCTGGAGTATAGCGGTTATAGAGAATACTGCGAGCGCATGGACTGTCTGTTCAGCAGAGGTATAGCTGCATATCCTGTTGCGCAGATGGCTGTGTCCAGAGGTTGCATGTTTTTCCTTCACCCATCCGTGGCATCAGAAACGCCAGAGTGAGTCGCAAGTGAATTTCCCTTTTATTTTCCTGCTATTTTGCTTTCCTCTAGCAAGTGACGAATATCACAGGAAGGCGTAAGTGACGGCTGTAGGTTTATATATCTTTATTTAGGTCAAAAAAGTAGGATGCTGCTTCCAGAGTTCCAGCTGGGTTTTGATAGTTATAAGATTTAGTTAGTTAGTTTTTCTGTTGGGCAAAAGTGAAAAGAAAAGGGCTTAAAGGAAGCAATTTAAACATGATATAGCTTGAAGACTGGCAGCTTTTCTTTATTTAGTCTTAAAGGAAGTGTTCAGCTAGGAAGATGGAGAGTTCCAGTTCACTTTATACGCGGTCAATAATAGTAATAAGAAACACACAGCACTGCGGCAGCTGTATTGATTTAAGGTGTATTATAAGATGACCTTTCAGACGGTTGTTTGACAGTAAAAGATAGCAATCAGTCAGTTGGTCGCTATAGAAACAAACACTATTGTTTCTCCTCTTCCTGCATGTTCTACTTTATTCCTTAGATGAACAATGCAACAATAAAGATCGATGCTCCACCCTTCTTCTCACTCCTGGAGAGTTTCGATCTTTTCTTGGAGCATGGCCTGCACAGTTCGATTTGCTTCCTTGTACTCCTTCTCCAGCAATAGCACACGCTTAGCTATCTCATTTTCAATCTCGAGTTTTCTCTTTGCCAGTTCCTGGAGCCGATCCAGCTGTGTCTTACGATATTCCAGACTAGTTAATATGTCAATAAACTAGCGATAATTGTGTCTTTGAGTGGGAGTTGTTGGGTACCAAAACCGGGCACAATACTAGAGTTAGCAATCTAAATTCAAGTACAACACCTACATGGCTTGCTTGTTCGATCGAGAGACCTCCTTTAACCTGTCCTCAATCTTCCTGACACTCGCTTTGTGTTGGGCTTGAAACTTCTGGCGCCCGTCATTAGCTGACTTCCTTCCTGCTACCTAGACATGCGAGGATACATTGGTTAATACGCTGGAAGCCAGTTATCATCTTCGCAGACATCAACGAAATAAGCAGCGCTAATAACAGCATTTGCTGCTCACAGAATTGTTTAGTTTCTTGAGTAGATTGGTCATTTCTGCACCTGAATTGGCAGATAGCCCGCTCTCGCTCTCCGCCGTGTTTGCCCTCCGGTTGCTTCTGGGGCGGGCGTTTGCTTGTCTCCGTTTTTGTGATTGTCTCGCAGCCATGCTTTACCCCTCTGACGACTGGTTTCAAGGATACAACAGGGCATGTAAACTTCTCTGAACCGCTTTTGAACTCCTTTGAACTCCTTTGAGTCTGTCAAAATTGCTGGACGTTGAAGACTTTGAATAGTGTGGTGGGAAGTCCAGGATTACCCAAAAGGGACAAAAGCGAGCACTCGGTTTTAAGTTATTCCGCATGACATATTAAGTAATCATGTTATTGCGGCGTCACTTTCTGCTTGGAAGATAAACGGCGATATTGGTATCCTCGCGGACGACGGCATGGAAGATATAACGGCTAGACACACATAGGTCGGACAATTGTGCTCTCTTTTGCAATATTTCCGGGAATAAACGTTGTTGGTGGATGTGAGAGGAGGCCACAACTCCTCGCCTACGAACACTGCTTAAAGCGGCGGCACAGGAATATCTTATCAAACTTCGACTTTTTTTTGAGGAAATAAAAAATAAAATAAAAACGATTTCGAAAGTCCATAGCTCTTGTCTAGTAGACGCAGTCCTCAGGCCGTCACAATGGGTCTAGCCGCTCCTAAGAAGTAAGTCCGCAGACTGTAACTGTTGATTAATGCCATGGTGCCAATTTAACTGTTTATCAGGAGGACCAAAATTTCAAATGACCCGAATAACACAACGTGGACTCGATCAACGTCCGGCTATGGACACAAAATCATGACCTCCCAGGGCTGGGCGCCTGGCGACTTTTTGGGTGCAGCAAACAGTAACCGGACCGATACATATACCGCTGCCAGCTTTGGCCACATCCGAGTATCCCTCAAAGACGATAACCTAGGGCTGGGAGCTAAACCCCGCCGGCCACTGATAGACGATGAGCCCACAGGATTAGACGCATTCCAAGGCCTACTGGGACGACTCAATGGAAGGAGTGAAGTTGAAATAGAAAAAGAAATGAAGGTTAAACGGGATATTAAAGCCATGACATATATTGAGCGGAGATGGGGTTGCATGAACTTCATCGGTGGCGGACTCCTGGTACCAGACAAAGCCAATAAGATACCAAATGAAGAAGAAAATAAGAACGTGGAGGGCCCTGCAGATGCTAAGCCTGCTGAGGGATCAGTGGATGAAGATATAGATACGAAGGAAAATAGGAAACGGGAAAAGAAGGAGAAAAAGGAACGAAAAGAGAAGAAAGAGAAATCCAAGGAGAAGAAGAAGCGGAAAAAGGAAACGCAAGAGTCCGAGGAAATTGCAGATAGCGGATTTGCAACGGAGATATCTGCTCCCGCTTCAAGAGCGGAGACCTCTGACGATGCCGAGACTGATTCGAAGACCGAGAAACAAAAGTCGAAGGATAAGAAGAAATCGAAAAAGCGGAAACGAAAAGAAGAAGCACAAGCTGATAAGGCTGAAACTTCATCAACACCTAGTGAAGAAGATACAAAGGACACCAAGAGAGTGGAGGCTTCTCCATCAACACCAGCAGCACCTATTGCTGTCAAGGAAAGGGTTATCCCTATTTCTCGACAGCTTCTCCGAGGACGGTATATACAGCAAAAGAGACGAGCAGTTATGGACTCCAAGTCATTGAACGAGGTATTATCTCTTACTACTTGTCATGTCAAGGTCTTCTAGCTGACGAAAAGACAGATATTTATGACCACAAGTTGATACCATCTACTTTACCCATATCTCTCCCACATGGACAGGCTCCTTTTTCAATATTCTCTATAATAGATCCAACTGAAAAGTGATTTGATGATCTTATATACCCATGAAGCGCTATAATTCTACTTTATTTTTGAAAATTTGCTTTTTGGTATCTCAATCTCTATATATCTATACCTATATTCAATATTCTTTGAAAAGCCTGGAATCATCTTTACGGATGCATTTTGGACCTGAGAAGAAGCGTCTATAAAATATCTTTAACCTTCACAGTACTGGTTGCCATACGTCCCTGTTAGAGTCTAAAATGGGCTTTGGATATATTCACCCTCCTTTCTTTGCTGCCTACCAAATTCCTAAATCCAGGTTAGGTTTTTAATGAATGGGTTTTTAAAGCATTAGCCTATATATCACTGCTTCATTCTGAGAGTGGAAATTGAGAGTGACGTCAGCACTTGTCCTGTTGCTAGGCTCTTTGTGCAGCAACCATCCTCCTGCACTCAGTTCTTGAACCATGATTGACTCTCAAAGAGCTAGCTTGAGCTGGATTGCGGCAGCGTTGTCTGAGTTGACTTTGGAGGATGCTGCTCACTTGACTCCTGCTCTCGAATTTGAAGGCACCCTGGGCGAAAGACTCCAATATACTAGCGTTGGCCTCTACGTTGTTGACAGCGACGGCATGATCCGCGTCCCGGCTGTTCTCTTCTCTGGTGATGCAAACAAGGTATCTACTCTGCTAGCTTTTGTTTTTTCTCGAGTATTTGGGCCACATAGACGCGCAAGGCCTTAATATACTCACTTTGAGCAATAGGGGCTTCCAGGGATCATCCTTACTCCAACTACTCCATCTGAACCTGTTACTACCAGCACGGTATCATCATCGCCAACATTGCCGGAATCACCAGCAATGCCCTCCCTGCCGTCGCCTTTAACCCCGCCGCCTCCTACTCCGCCGGGGTTTGAGTTCAAAAACAATACCGAACGGTCCTTCTTTGCCATTGCTGCACGCGCACTCCAGGAGGCAGTAAAGCTACCTGAACAACCACCACCAGCTGGCTGGCTACCTAGCCAAAAATGCCCCATCTTCTATTCTTCGATACTTGACCAATTTACTGTCTGTTTCCGCGAGAAGCTCCAAAGCCTAGGCCGCTACCAACAGGACACATTCATTGAAGAATGTCAGCATCACTATGTCAGCATTTTCAACAACATCCGTTCTAGATGGCATTACTCCCCATTTGGCTCGATTGATGGGTTCAGAACTACCATCAACACTCCCAACTGTGCAATCGCTGTTCAGGCACTGCAACACACCGTCAGAAAGCCGACTTCCCCTCCGCCAGCTAATTGGAAGGTCAACGATCCCTTGCACACATACTATGTTATCATGATTGCTAGGTTCCGTACTCATCTGCGCAACATGCTGAGGAACTACAACTCCCTCTTGGTCGATGGACCAATTGATATCCATGAGTCAACCTGCAGATTCATCGAGCTAGTCATTCAAGAGTATCGCCGCACCTGGATCACAAACTACGGGCTAGAGTGAAGGAAGGACTTGTCTATTTCAGTATCTATTTCTTCCTCTTACACCTATCAAAAGGGGTCAAACAAAAAGGAGCAAAAGGAAAAAACAAAAAGGAGGCTCATGCATGTGAATAAATAGACGCGAGTAACTAAGTTCGATAGCCGCGATAACTCGTTATGAAGTCGAGCTATTACGTCACCACAAGAGCAAAGCCCAACCTCGTAGTTAGAAACCAAGAGCCGCTTCGCCTTCACCAACGCCATCCCTTCTACGCATCTTCACCCAGCAGTAGCCAGGCGACGGTCTATCTTTTGTTCTCGAGTCACTTTAATCTTCACCTGCGGCTCGGGGACGCTCACATATATCTCTGAGCCCAAGGAGACGACTTTCCAACCTCGCGCCCCCCAGCTGCGATCCTGAAACACCCACACAAGACATCACGGAAGCACCGCGCTCGATCCACCGGCCCAAATAAACGCCTCTACGTCACCGTATCCCCATGCCCGACATTGATAGAGTGTTCGCTGAAATGAAGGGCGAAGCGGGGGAAAACTATTCGGGCTCCATGCGACAGTTCCGCACCCTAGTAAACTCGGCTCCGGAGTCGCTATTCAATGACTCCTCTTCCACGAGCAGCGTAGCAAACGCTATGCCTAGCTCTCTGCCGGCTCGAAGAAGCCATGGCCTAGTCAGGACGAGGTCAGACCCGTTCAAGCCGAATACTACGACAACTCTCTTACCTCACTCTGAGAGCGACTATACTCAGCGTATGGGGTACGTTTGTCCGGGTCAAACCGCAGGGAATATAGCGAAACTAACAGATAGTTCTTTTTTGTTACGATAGAATTCGATGGGCTCCGTTGAATATCAGTCTTAAACGGCGGCTTCAGACCCTCGTCGTCCTCCTTCATACCATTTCGATCGCATTTTGCTTGATGTCTTTCTTTTTCTGCTGCGCCATCCCCTTATTCTGGCCCATCCTATTCCCATACGTGGTTTATATATCACTTTTCTCCAAGGCTGCGACAGATGGTAGGCTTTCAAGGAGAAGTAACTTCATTCGGTCCCTGCCAATATGGAAGCTTTTTGGCTCGTACTTCCCGGCTCGCCTTCACCGAACAGTCCCTCTCCCACCAACCAGGAAGTATATTTTTGGCTACCACCCACATGGAATTATTTCTCATGGAGCATTCGCGGCCTTCGCTACTGAAGGGCTGGGCTTTTCAAAGCTCTTCCCGGGAATCACAAATACCCTGCTTACCCTGGACTCCAATTTCCGACTTCCTTTCTACCGAGACTGGGCATTAGCAATGGGATTAGGTAGCGTATCCCGTGAATCCTGCGAAAATATCCTTTCAAAGGGTGGAATGAATAAAGAAGGCATGGGCCGTGCAATTACCATTGTGATAGGCGGTGCGCGAGAATCCCTTGATGCCCAGCCACATACCCTCCGACTAATCCTGCGCCGACGAAAGGGGTTTGTCAAGCTTGCAATCCGCACTGGCGCAGACCTTGTTCCTGTACTCGCATTTGGCGAAAACGAGCTGTATGAGCAGGTGAAGTCAGACCAGCATCCGCTTATACATAGATTCCAGATGCTGCTTAAAAGCTCTATGGGTTTCACTATCCCACTTTTCCATGCTCGAGGCGTCTTCAATTATGATGTTGGCTTGATGCCATATCGCAGACCATTGAACATCGTTGTTGGTAGGCCAATTCCAGTCATCCAGCAGACTGATAGGAGCAAGGTCGAAGACTCATATATCGATGAACTGCATGAAAAATACATTCAAGAGTTGGAAAAGATGTGGGATGAATGGAAGGATACTTTTGCTCCTGGCCGTATCTCCGAACTCGAGATCGCTTCTTGAAAACTCTTTTCAAATACACTACAATTCTGCCTCCCTCGCTTGGCCTCTCTTTAGCTTTCTTACTTTTCTTTGTATTGGCTCTAACTTTGGAAGCCGTTTCAATCGATGGATGGGAGATGGCGCGGATATTCTTGGTATCGTACAACAACAACCTTTTATTCTCTTTTCTTTAGGGGAGGGCCGTTGGCGTTCAGTTGCTAGTTAAATATTAGTTCACAACAATATCTTTGCTACCTTTTAATCTTTACTACGGGAATACGGAGTAATAATCATGCTACTACACGAAATGAAAGTAACTCGAACTTGAACCTGTCGGAAGCATATGTATTCCTGATTCATCTACCTCTGTCTATTTGTTTCGCGGTAGTGTCATAGCGGGGGTAGATCGTAATACTGCATTCCGGACGGATATCAATATCCGCTGGGAAATGGTAAACCATTCCAGGTACGGTACACAAACCGTGTGGTGTCGCCTGTGAAACCCAGAAATAAAATATTCTATGACATTTGTGGCCAGCAACATATGTGGGTGACAGACATCTGATATGTAGGGTATCATGTTGCTTGAAAACAAAAAAAGGGGAGAAAAAGAAAAGAACAATAAAAAGAGGAAGAAGAAATGTAAACGAATGAAGAAAACAAGATGAGTTCAAAAGTCGCTGCAAGCGCTCAGTGGAATAGCCCAACCAAAAATAAAGACAAAACGCCAGGAATTTCTTCCAGAACAGACCGTTAGCCGTGTATTCCATCAAAGGAAAATAAGAAGGGCGAGACCCGTTGATCAAACAATTCCCATCCAGTCTATCTTCCCATCAACGTTCTTCCAAGCTCCATGGGTAATTGCCTTATTCCATCCCAGCATGACGGCTAATAGCCGGCATGTAGTGCTACTCACAGCACAAACAACACCATCTCCCTCAGCTAGAAGTGACAGGTCGTTAAGGTATGTTTTAGCAACAAGCTCGCGCAACCGGAGAGCCTCGGGAGATGGGTTGAAACGAAGTCTCTCGTATTCCGATTCGCGGACAACGCGATGTGGGGGGAATACGGAAGACGTCCCCTGAGACGCGGAAGGGCTGCCTTCCGCCGAAGGGATAAGCGAGGTATCCCCAAGAGACCAGAAAATGCTGTTGAAAAAACCACCGTCCCAGTCAATTTTGGGGTCCTTTTGGGGCTTCTTAGCAACAATTTTAGCGGATTTACCACTGGGTTCCTCAGGGAGATCTCGAGAGCCGTCCAGAGGTCCGTCACCACTTGACACAAGGTTTGACTGCGCCTTGACGATGCCTTTCATCTCAGGAGAAGTATAAGTCTCTGGGTCATCAGAGGCGAGAATCATGCTCGATGTAGCTCTGTACTGGGCTTCGGAGGCCTTCTTGCTACTACTGCCGTTGATGTTGTAGGAGAATATAGACCTCTGGTTGTAAAAGGAGGTGACGAGTTCGTTTGCCGCATCGACATATATATCAAGCGGGATGTAGGACTTCTCGTACTGGAACTCAAATGGATGGCGGTCACCACGGCGGACATGGATGCTGATCAGAGGGCCACCGCCCTTTGGAATAGAGCTTCGTATCTCAGCCATTCGTTGCTCAATGTACTTTGCATCGTCGCTGTCGATATGGAAGAGTGCTTCGTATCCCGCGCGGAGGAATTTGAACATCTCCTTTTGCCTGTCAGCGCCTGTTTTTCGTGAGCTTTCAAACCGCTCGTTGAATTTGGTTCCGAAAGTCCACTGAGTAGTGGCCGATGATATGAGAAGATGGCGTGCGTGGTGAGGGAATGGGGTTCTATGCGAAACTGGGGGAGGCTGGCAGTCTGGCAACGGAGGTTGCTTGAAATAATTGGTATATCGACCGTAAGACCAGTTCTTGTCGTCGATGAAAAATGAACGTCCTTCTTTCTTTGCCAGGCCATAGCTCATCCATAAACCCATCAAGGTAGCCCCCAGACCTGCGTCTTCCGTCTGCATCACAAATGTCAAGCTCTTCTTACAGACAGGCATGGTATCCCGCATCTTGAGATATTTCTCTCCACCAACAACGTTATCTGCAACATTTTTGGGAATGCGTCCATTGAGTTTTGATGGGATGATATCTCGCCGCTTCGCCTCGTCAATATCGATATAATTCTTATCCACGTGGTAATATCCACTATGTTCTTTTCCATCGGCTAGATGGAGTGACATTGCCTCGGCGTCCTTGCATATTTTCGAGTATTCTGCAGGAGAGAGAGGATAATCGAGATTCTCTGGTAAGGAAATAGTCCACCTTGCCCTTCCACGCTCGTCGTCCACTAGAATTGGGCCAGCTACTTCTGGCAATGTATCACTCTCAACAATCTCATAGCTTCCAGTAGCTCCTACAGGCGTAACTGGGTCAAGATGAGCGAACCAAGGGGTAGATTGTATGCAAAAGAATATTCCAACCAAGCACCCAATCCACAGAGCAAGCCTCCGGAGCCGTATCAACCATCTTGGCAATGGTTTTTTACCCTGTCGAGGTACGGCAGCGGGAAGACTTGGAGATGGTAGCGGAGAGTCGAGTAAGGGAACCCGCAGGCTGCCACTGGATAAGGTAGCCGGTGCTCTGCGCATACTCATGTCATGCAAATTTCGTCGAGATGCGATAATCATGTTGAAAATCACAGAATAAGGGAGTGTCTTTTTTCCTTGGAAGATGGATGGCGTCGCGAAACAGTCAGGCCGCGACTTTTGTTGCCCAGCTTCGTTGCTCCTTCAGTGCACCAAATATGCTTGATGTCGATGATGGGCAAACTATCAATCCAAATTCCACGTTGAGCCTTCGTTAAAACGACTGCAACATTCGTTATATCGGCTAAGGAGAGACGTTTTCCCTTCCAAAAGGAAAGAAGACCGGTAACAGACGTGCAAATAAAGGAGTGACTAAAGGCTCAGAGAGGGCATCTTCCACCAGGCCGGCCAGAGGAAAATATGGTTGAGCGTGGGCTCCAACACAGTCTTGGGCGGAGAGGGAGAGACAAAGGGAAAACGACCCCAGAGCGAAATATTTAAAAGGAACGGCAATTAAGGCTAGCAAAGGCACTGCGGGGGCACGGGGCACAAGAGCAAAAGGGCCTCCAAGGGGTCAGCGTACATATATGGATTGAAGCATATATGTAACCGCGGTGGAACCCGGCTATCTATATGAAAAAGACACGATGCACAACGAGTGGAAGGCTAAACCGATGCCAGTCGATCACTAAGTATATAGTTCTTGTAAATCTCCCAAAGGCGGAAGAAAAGGAAGATCCAGGAGAGAAGAAGGAAAAACAGAAAGACAAGAAGAGAGTATGTAATGAGAGGCAGCCCCTGGATCAAGGAGCCATAAGCGCGGTAAGAGATATCTATTCTTGGGCAGGCCAGCACCCTATCTGGTGGAAATATATCTCCTGGATATCTGTATCTATATCAAACATGCACACACAAGGATGAGAGAATCGCGTGAGACGAAGCTGACCTGGTTATTATTTAGGGAAAAAGAAGAGCGATTTTCGCCACTAAGAGAGAGCGATAAAGCCCGCGTACGAGGTACCGTATCCAACCCAGGAGACCAGCGGGACGGACGACACCAAATATGGGGAAAAGAGGTTGAGACCGCGGATCCTAATCATAACCGGGACCCATGTTACTCCATAGCACCTTCGCAGCAGCGTATCACCTTTGACAGGCGGCCAGGAGTGACGTCAAACAGCAAGGGGGGAGTGGGAATCCGAACGATGTGGTGGACGAGTTGGGAGACGATCCATAGATGGGTCTCCTCTGGTGCCACGGCTGGAGGTCGGACAGCACTCTTTTTTCTCATCGATGATCCATACTCCGTATATCAAATAATTGATATGTCCATCCTGAGTGGCTAAGGAAGAGACACCCTCCTCTTCGCAGGCAGGTAAAAACCAATCCCTCATGTTCCACCTCATCTCGCGTTTCAAGCTTCAGGTTCCAGGTACTCCGTACAGGGACAACAGCGAAAAAGTGCCCTGACAGGAGCTGATTGGACATGGTCCTGGGGCGATTCACCCGTTTGAAGACTCTGCAGTGAGGGAGAGCATCCCAGCCCGCACCGTGACATGAAAGTGTCGCGATTAGTGATTCGTGATAGCCGAACTATGGCCCTCGGTGGTGGAGCCGCCAGTGTTTCAGAACCGGCATGGGAACGGCAGACGAAAGGCTGCACTGCTCTCAGACTGGCCTGACTAAGGACGGAGCGTTCTGTCGCCGTTGGTGGCTACGTGCGATGGTGAATAATTCTGCAGGATATTAATAACCTCCATGCACGCTGACAATCCTGATACTCGACCTCCCATTGCTTCGAAGTACCTTGACTCCGTAGGAAATACTCCGTTCCCGACAAGCTTCTGTACGGAGTACACAGTGCTAACTATTGGATTCGACGGCAGCCAACGAGGGTCCGAGCTAGCAAACACCCCGCGTCAACTCTCCCCTGAAACCGCTCAGCGTCCCTTAGCAAAATTACCTGTGATCGCGTAGCCGCAAACTATCTTGTCCCGCCTTTTGCTTCCGCTTCGTCCGTTTTTTTTGTCATTTTGATGTTGAGATAAAGAAAAAAAAGGAGAAGTTGAGGCTCTGTGATGACTCAGCAGCCGAGGCACGTGATATCAGCTTTTCCCAATTCCCAAAAAGGTTGAAAGGTTCTCCTTTTCGCAGTATCAAAGCCAAAAAGACGAGAGGAAATGAGCAAGAAGAAGACAAGATAAAGAGCAGCATAAAAAACAAACATGGGGCTGGCTGAACTACCTCTTGAGTTGGTAATAGCTATTGCCAAAGCGTCACGAAATGCACACGATATCAATACCCTTGCCCGAACCTGCCGGCGCTTTTACCAGGGGCTGAATACCTTCCTGTATCAATATAGTATTCGATACTCTGGAGGAAGCGGAATGTATCGCGCGTCAGACACCGGCAATGCTGCCGCAGTTGGAAAATTTCTAGATCACGGGGCCGACCCTAACGCTGCGTCTTCCGGCCCACCCCTGATTCTAGCAGCAACTCGCGGTCATTATAATGTCGCCGAGCTCCTGATAAAGCGATGCCCTGATCTGAATATAAACATCCGGGATCCTGGTAGTCATTATTCAGCATTCTTTTGGGCGATCGTGAAGGGAAATGAAGAGTTAGCAGCCCTGTTACTTAACGCAGGGGCGGATATCAATCTGGGTGATGATGAAGGCAATACCCCATTTTCTGAATCCATAGAGGAAGGCAGCACTAAAAAAGTAAAATGGCTGCTTGATCATGGAGCAAAATTCGAGACTGATGTACCGCACGGTGATACTGCATTAACAATTGCTGCAGAACATGGAAACGAAGAGATTGTCAGACTCCTACTTGAGAAAGATATTGATCTAGATCATATGAATAAGGAAAATCGCACTGCCTTATCCCTGGCAGTTGAAAATGGATATCTGGGGATTGCCAAGCTCTTGATACATAAAGGAGCCTCCATCGACATTGTGAATGAGAATGGCATGACCCCTTTAGGTGGAGCTACCGAATACGGGAATGTGGAAATCATGGAACTGCTGATTGATAATGGGGCTGACATCGATTTTCTGGACAGCAACGGTAGCTGCTGTTTAGCTATTGCAATGGAGGAAAATCAAATGTCAGCCTTCGAACTCCTGCTTAAGAAGGGGGCTAACATAGACCTACAAGATGACACAGGTAGCACCCCGCTTCATGTGGCCGCTGGTCTTAGGAATACTGAATTTGCCAAATTGCTTCTTGAACATGGAGCAAATATAGAAGCTAAAGACTCAGCCGGAGATACCCCCTTATCATCAGCTACAAGAAAAGGGTTCCTTGAATCCGCCACTCTGCTTCTTGATCGTGGAGCGAATATAGAGACTCGGAATGATAGTGAGCACACACCGTTATTTACAGCGGCGATTTTTGGGCATATGGACCTGATAAACCTTTTAATTGCGCGTGGAGCCTCTGTAAATGTCAGTGATGAATTTGGCCGAACTCCACGGTTAGTCGCTATTGCATCCAAGAATGACAAGCTACGTGCTGTGTTGATAGAAAATGGTGCAATTCATGATCATGATGCCAATGACGCCATTGATACAGAAAGCACAACTAATGCTGGGTAATACGGGTTCTCTTATTGAGTATATTGGTCAACTACTATGCCCAGCTTTCTTTCGTTCTTCTCTTTCCTTTTCGATGGATTAGTTATCTTATAAAAATTAGTGGCATATTTCGATTTCCTTAAAGATACCCAGGAACTTGCAGCGCTATAAATAGTATCGCTATATACAAGTACATCGATTGCTTTATCTTAGGTTGGAACGGGAAACAGTAAAGACGTCGGAAAGAGATGAGAACGAATAGTATTCTATTCATACATCATGCTGTATAAGTACTTCATTTCAATTCTCCGCTCACTAATGATTGGGAGGAACAAAGAGCAAAGCTCGTATAAAAAAAAAAAAAAAAAAATTAGGGAGACCGCGACAAAAATAGTCATAAGATACGCAAAAGAGGAGAATGGGGATATATAACTGACATGTCTGAAAAAGAAGAAACAAGCAAGGAAAAATGCGGCAAACCAATCGTATCTGGCTTTTGACTGATCAAAACACCAGCGAATTAAGGTTGACCACCAAGGCCAAACAAACAAGTAACGAGAAAAATCAGGATATCCAACTTGTACAAAGAAGTAGAAATAGCACAATGTACGGAGTACGCAGGCTGCCGGCGGGGAAAAGCAAGCGAAGATGGTATGGCGGGAAATTGTGGAGAGGAAAAAGGAAAGATAAGATGAAATCGAAAGACCCTTTTCGCAAGAAAAACGTGCATGACCAAGGCATAAAAATAAGTAGGTAATAAATGGTAAAAAGGCGTAGTAGAGAAATGTATCAAGCTCTAGGTAAAAGCAACCAAGGTTAACTGGTAAACTGTATATGGAATTAAATCGAGAGAATCGTGACCAGCATTACTTGGACGGGCAAGTAGTGTAGGGATGACTACGATGACATAGGCCTCGGAGCCGGTTTGTCAACGGAGGTATCCATGTTCGTTGCATTTTGCTCCGAGGGCTCTTCATCACGCCGAAGCTGATTGTCGGAATTGGTGGAAATGGAGTCTTTGGTGCGAGAATGGCTGTAGGTGACGTCCGAGAAGAGGCCATTGCTGGACGACAGGTCTGCAACTGTGCCAGTTGACATTCTTGACATCCTGCTATTTTTTTGCGGAGTTCCATCGTTGCTCTTTGGGGATACACCAGCACTGGAAACTCGCATATGACCCTTGGAAGTCTTAATGAGATGGCCGCTCTCGACTCGATCTTGAATCATCTCATCCAGCATGCGCGACATTTCATCAACGCTCTTTCGCTTCCTATCTCTATCTTCGGCGCTTAACTTCACCGGCGGAAGAAGGTTGGGGCTGACCCGTCCCAATACCGAGCCAGAGCCAACGCCACTATTGCTAAATAATGAGTTCGTCTCGCTGTGATGGTTGTTGTGGCTGTGGCTGTTGTGATGGGGTAATATGGCGTTGTTGATGCCCATGATCTTGTAATCTGCTCCCACAGGTGGCGGTGGGTGAAGCGGTGGAGGTGTAGGCGCAGCATCTGCTCGATTAGTTGCGTTTGTGCTCCCGCCAGTCAGGTGTGCCATGTCCCTTTGCCTCGCTGCCGATCTCAGTGCGGCCACCATTCGATCTTTGTCGTCCAACTGTAATCGTAAGTCTGCGATTTCCATGTCCTTCTCCCGCAAAAGAGAGGCAAGGTCCGAATCATTATTTGAAGATGTCGTGCTACACGATTTGAGATGGTGGTGATGGTTCAGGCCCATGGAAACACGAGAATGACTTGATCGACGGGCTTGAAGTAGTCGACGCTCAAGCGTTGAGATGTATCTGTTTTTGTCTGCAAGGTCGGCCTGGAGTGCATTTACTTGGACCTGCAAGCTTGCCATGCCGTCCGCGAATTCACCGATCATCTCATCGTCGTCATCTTGGTGATGGGCAAAGGGGGCAACTGCGTTGGCATGGCCAGCACTTGCACTGCTCTTCATTGAGGCAAGAGATGTAGAGCGATTCAATGCTGTACCGGCACCCAGTGTAGAATGAGAAACGGAGGATCGTAGTGATCGAATATCCACGGAGCCTGGGCTGGTTTGGGAGGAGAACCTAGCTAGACTTGCATTGACGCCAGTTGATTTTGAACATAGGATCAACCTGTTTAAGTGCTCAATTCGTTCTTTCAGCGCGGTACGAGCAAGCTGCATCTCCAGCATTTGTTCTTCGTGACGAAGCGCGGCTTCTTTTTCTCTGGCACGCTCTTCTTCTTTTGATTCTGTCTCGGAGGTGGTGGTTGGTGTCTCCGCTTTGGCTTGATTCTCCAATTGACGACGTAGAGACTGGATCTCCATTCTGTACCTCTCAAGCAAGACCCTGCTGCCTGCATCGCCTGTACCACTGCCCAAAGACTCCTCGGCTCGTTTTGCGTGGCTGACGATGTTATTCTTTGCTCGTGCAGCGAACTTGAGCGTGTTCATGGTTTCGTTCGTATGTGACTGGGAAGATGCAGCGGTTCCGCCAGACCCAACCTGGATCGTACATAGAATACTGACAAGGGAGTTACCCGAGAGTGCGGGCTGTAGCAATCGAGTGAGCTTGCTGTCTCTGTAGGGTAAATGTTTTCCTTCCTTGTCTCCATTTTTGCCCTCCTTCTCAACGCTTAGACGAGCAATGACTGTTCCAAGGGTAAGCAAACTCTTGTTAATATGGGCACCTTCTGCCCTGCGTTCCTTGCTTTCGGCAGCACGCTCGGAACCAGCGAGATCGATCAGGCTGAGGGTTGATACACGGACTCCACCGGGAGCAATTGCAGCCCGCTTCTCATGCCCAGCTACAGGAGCTCGCTCTCTGCTTTCCACAACAATCTGGACGACAGCATGACTTCGAGAACTTCGTGAGTTGAACTGCGTACTGGACGTTCTCCTGGAATGGTCTCCTCTGGCGATAACACGTAGCAATTGGGTTGGGCTTTGGACTATTTCCTCCTTGAGTGGCGTAGCGTAAACTCCTCGCTTGCTATCCTCGCGAAGCTTGATCTCTTCTTGTTGCTGGCCTTGGGCCCCAGTTCCATTTCCTTGCCCCGATGCGGACATGGATAACAGATCGTGGATTTTCTCGTTGTATATTTCCAGATAACTAACTCTGAGCAAGAATTCGCGATGGGGTGTTTCTCTGATATATGAGAAGATATCTGTGATCGCAAGGGGAATGACACCGGGAGATGTAGCGGTTCCCTGCATAGAGAACGTCTTTCCAGTGCCGGTCATTCCATAAGCAAAAACCGTGCCATGGTAACCTTCCATGACACGGCGGACAAGTCGTTTCGCAGATGCATCGTACACCTTAGCATTATTATCATGCGTGGTAAAAACATTATCTATCGAACAGTTAATTCATCCAGCCATGTTTGTGTCGAAAAGGTCGAGTGTAAAGATTGATAATTACCGTAAAAATAATCGCCGCCTTCTTTTCCTCTATACGACACCAAACTCCTTCTACCGTCGACCAACCATTCTCCTTCAGAGTTTTTGCCCTCTCCGGACGACAGGTCTGGTCGAACTCGCACACTTACCAGGACATTTCCTTTGCCCTCTCTGCCCTTGGGACTTCGATTCGAACCGCCAGTCGAGTCATCAACACCATCTCGCCCTCGCCGTGTGCCTTCTTCATCATCATACGTGGTGGCACTGGTCGAATACGAGTCCTGGGCGGATGAGCACCGACTTTGGGTGGGCGATACTATACTAGCGTGGCCTCCCGAGTTACGAGAGTTGGGTATCGATTTACCATCCCCGCTACCGTTGAGCAGACTTGGTGTTTTTGAGTTCTTCAGTTGCGACCCCGCGCCAGTATCTATGCGCGGAGCCTTTTTCTTCGTCCTGGGATTCGGCACTGACCTTGGGCTATCGGGGGGATTTCCTGAGAAAGAAGATTGAGTGGAGAGAGAGGGTCGACTGGCCTTGGGGGGTTGGGGGAATGAAGCAATGCTCACGGTCCGGCGTACGGCTTTGTCTGGGCTTCCAGGGGTAAGGCATACCGAGGGGGATCTGAACGAGCTTTTACTCGGTGAAAGCGACGATATTCCGAGATTAGATGGAACCGCAGACTTGGTCTGGACGGCGGAGGGAGTTCGTAATTTTGAAGGAAGGGGGGAAGTTGCGTATAGCTTAACCGAGTCGCCGGGCCCTGGCATGCTTTTCCTGGTTTTCGAAGCTGGTATCGGAGGAAGGGCTGATCTCGGAGGGCTTCGAGGAGGTGGGTTAGAAGGCAACCGAGTCGGTTGCGGTATTGTCGAAGTCATGTTTGCAATCTGGAGGGAGCAACGAATATAACCATAACCTCACCCAAATATCTGCCAGAGATGATCAAAGATGGGGTTAGAATGGCTATGAGCGACGACAAAGATAGCGAGAATTCGGCTAGACAGCGCTGTTCGTCTCTTTCCCCTTCACTCAATCTTTCTTTCGGTTGAGTGAGGGATGGTATGACGACGTCTATCAGGGTGTAATATGAGATGTTGCGCGTGGATTTGGGATTGTGCTATGGGCCGGTTGCACTATGCTTCACGACTTGCATGAGACATCTTCGAGATTTTGTGCGACAGGGACGATAAATGGCATGCAGCGGACAATGCGAGGAGGCCAGTATAGGCGCATGGAATGGGAGGGATCACCGGAAAACCCCCCAAGCAGGAAAAGGGTGACGGAGACAGCAGGCCGGAACGAACAGCCAGCCAGCCAGCCAGCTCCCAGGCACGCACGCACGCAAGCAAGCAGAAACAACAGCTGCAGGAATACTCCGTAGACGCAGCAGCAGCAGCAGCAGCAGCAGCAGTAAAGAGATGTGTCGAAAGGTGAGCCGGGGGGCCTGCCGGAGAACGCTGTGTAATCTTTGGGCATCAGTTACAGAGACCTGCGCAGGGGTGGCCGGGCGGTAAGGGAACCAAGGTTTCCTCTAGGATGTCGGCCGTTCGCCTTGCATATATGTAGAGACTCGCCCGCAAGGGAGTAGCCGGGCATTATATATCAATGCACATAAACATGATATATGTATATCACCACAGCTAGACCTCGAAGAATGGGAGAAAAAGAGCAATAATCTGAAACAAGCTTACATACAGATGGCCGTCAATGTGTCGAGTCGTGCTTGTTTGCCGTTCTTTTCTTAGAATCGGATAAGAGTCTGGGACTGGGAGGAGGCGAAAAGTCGAGTGAGGCGGGTGGAGGAGCCGTGCAGTGGGCGACGCAGTATATCACTCCGTCGATTCAATTAACATATAAACAAAACACATTAAGGGACGCAACGACCCAAAATAATAACACGCCGATGCAAAAGATGGATTGCGAGCAGGCTGAAGACGATAATGGGGTGCGATATTCCTAAGAAGCGCTAAAAAAAGGGGCAGAGAGAGAATCAAAGATGATAGGGAGAGCGGGGACTTTAGAGAAGGGGGTAAACAGAAACGGACAAGGTTGAAAAAAAAAAAAAAAAAAAAAAGAGAGAGACCCAGAACACTTCGATCAAATAATGGGGGAGCGAAAACACGAAACGAAAAACAGACACCAAGAAGAAGGGAAGCAGAAGAAAAAAATATCTGATCCCCAAGAACCAGTGAGCAGGAAATATCGAATCTTAGTTGATTTATTTAAAAGCATGCAGGCGTGCGAGCTTAAAAAGCGTCTGGCCACACACACCTCTTCCAGTCCTGGTCCCTCAAGGTCTTATCGAGCACATACTACCCAACCACGGCCGTCGCCAGAAGCGTACAAAGAGCCAGGAGGCGCAACGACGGGACTCACAGCCGTGACAGCGTGCATGGGCACACAGATGATGGGGACCAAGGACGGGGATCCGACAGGTCGAGTGGTTGCGTTCGGGGCAGGGGGCGGTGCTAGGTTCGGTCTGCTCGGTCTCCCTGGGAGGCCAAACTAACTACCGTAAGTAATCCTTCTGCCGCTCCTGTCTATGTACGGAGTATATACGGATGCAGATGCACGCTGAGTGGCCTGGCCTCGCTGGTTACCAGCACAACACAGAGCGTGCCTGCAGGGCTACTGCTGCGGCTTGTGTGAAGACTAAAATAAAGCTGCCTGAGAGCAAGCCCATCGAGCAGCTGCTTTGGCTTGTTTCTTAAGGGGCGGGAAAAATTCTTAGTGGCTTGTAATTCCCTTGCGATCCTCGGGCCTTGCGGAGCTGATTGGCCGGTGTGGGGAGAGCGAGCAGATGTAAAAGTCAGCATGGGGCCATCAGATGGAGCTTGGGAGGACGGATACTTGCGCGAACTCCGGCCGCGATCGTCTGATCTCGCCAGGCCAGCGCAGATTCAGCGTGTCCAGCGGCTGTTGAGCGTCGCTGAAGCTGAAGAGTCGATGGGCTGAAGTCGCGAAATGCCAAAAGCGGAAAAATATCAACATGGTCACGTGGATGCTTATGTAAAGCTGTCAGGGGTAAAAACGCAGAAAAAGAAATATCAAAAGATTAAAAAGCGTTACTTTACTTACCAAAAAAAAGGGACGGCGAGGAGGAGGGCAAGCGACGACGAAATACGGACGGGGTTTGCGATATAGCGCCGGGAGCAGAGTGTAAGGGCATGGATGGGACGGGCGAGGGCGAGTCTTCGATTCGCTGCCAAGTTTGTGCCTCTGAGACCGTTGGATCAGACGGGTCGAGCCATCCACACCAGGCGTGCCAATTGATACTTCTTATACGGACGGCTCCATACACCCTTTTGCCATCGCCTCTCTGCCATCGGAAATGAACGGGCGGGACGAACCTTTGCGTAAAAGGTAAGGCTGAGCAGGCGGAGAGGTCCCATGTGAAGATGTTGATTTGTGGAGTGTGGTGGCTAGGGGGTAGAGCAGCCACTTACGGATGTGAGTCGGGTATCTACAGGCAGATGTCGGCTATTACAGATTGACTGGGTGGAAGGATGCTTATTTATGCGCTTATGCATGGCCAATTCGGTCGAAGAGTTTATACATGGTCGACAACCACAAGCTAATTGAGTTGTGTTGGCGTTTCATGGTAGACTTAACCATGTTCCGCATGGGATATACTTACACTCCGGCGCTCATTCAACGGGTTCCCAGCTTCGTATGCGCATACGAAAGAGCCGAACACATGATGAGCAGCTAGCGGCTTGTTTGCTTGCTTGATACTTGTATACCCCGGTCGTCACGCTGGTCACTGATATATATAGGCGAGACACTTCATGCCATCTGGTTGCAACACTCCCTGTTCCAACCCTGCCTGCTGCTAATCTTGCTCTCTTCCTCCAGGGCTAGAACCTAAGCAGAACAGGGCAGGACATGCCAGGGAAGGTTAGGCAGATGAGCTTCATAACAAGTCTGTCGGGATCTGCCAGGGCAAGACAAGGACAAAACTGGCAAGGGAGCGCGTAAGGTTAAGATTTCAGCACCAGGGGGCCTAGGTAAGTGACGAGCTTTCATCTCGCATGTGGGATGTGATTTAGAGAAAAACTTGGAAGCAGTACTGAGTAAGTAGAGGTTGTTAAAGTCAAGAAGATAATCAATTAGTTACTTGAGAAATAAAATGCATATAAGAATATAGGTATGGGTATGGGTATGGGTATTACATCTGGCGGGAAATCAAAAGTAAATAGGAGGCAAGGTGAGCGAGTGGCATCCCCAGGCACAAGGGAGAATTGAAGAACAGAAACCAGCCCACCCATCTCTCACCTCTCCTCGCATGTCTGCTTCCATTCCCACCTTCTTCTCGTCTCCTTGCGTCCACCGTCATTATCATTCATCGTCATGTCGTGGATTTCCGCTTCCTCCTCTTCCTCCTGCTCCTCCTACCACGCTCTCAGTCTGCACACAACTCCCGCCATTAATCATACATGCCATCCTCAACATGAACCTGAAACCTCGGATCGGGGGGTGATAAAAGAGTGTTGGGGATGGGTAAAAGTAAGCGAAGCGAAGGGCATAATCAAAAAGGGGAAAAAGAGAAGTGTCGAACAACCAGAGATCTATATGTCGTTTTTCGCATCAAGCCGCCGGATATCAAAGGAAAGGAGAAGAAAAGGCGTTGTAAAAGGTAAAATCAAAAGCAAAAAGGCTAATAAATGGTTTGAAATCAGGGTCAGGAACAGGCACAGAAGTCAAATATCAACACGCTCAATAAACTTAATCAGAAGGGGCCAAAAAATGAGTGTAAATGAAAAGATGAGATGTCAATGAAATAAAAAGCAAAATGCCACCGCCAGTGATGATTTTTTTTTCTTTTTCTTGGTTTTATGTTGCTATCCCCGTTGGATGATCTGACATTGTGGTATCAGAGCAGATGTTGTGATTGTTGAGGGAGTGCAAATCATTGTCTATGGTGGAGGAGGAGGCGGTGGTGGAGGTGGAGGAGGCGTACCACCAGCATCAGCCTTCTTAGCAGCCTTCGGGTTTGGTCTAGGCTTGACTTTTCCTCCTGTCATCCATTTGGCGAACCCTCCTGGTGCGCCAGGACGTACCACCTTCTTCGGTGCAGGTGGAGGCGGTGGAGGAGCTGGAACATCCACCACCGCAACGGGGGGTTCTTCCTCTGGGGGGGGAGGAGGTGGTGGTGCGGGTTCCGGCTCCTTGGGTTTCTCGGGTATAGGCCACATATGCATGCTAACTGACCAGTCGGGCTCGACAACAGTGTCCCAGACTTGTGGGAGGATAATGTCTCCGTTGGGACCGACTAGGTCGTAGTGTCCATTCAGGACATGTTCACCGATCAAGTCAACATGCAGGAAGGCCTGGCGGATGAGTTCTTCCATACCCTGCCATGTTTTGCAGAGGGCAAAGGGGAACTTGAATTTCCTGCCTATAGCATCTTTGAATTGAACGGGCTTCTTTGGCGGCGGTGGCTTTTTCAGGGCAGCCTCTGTTGCTGCTGCAGCTGCTTCTGCAGCCTTGGCATCCCCCGCCGCAGCGGCAGCGGCTGTAGCCTCCGCCAGCGCAATGGCAGCAGCCTCCTCAGCCTCTTTCTTTGCAGCAGCAGCAGCTTCTTCAGCATCCTTTTTAGCTTTAGCGGCGGCAGCGGCAGCGGCCTTTTCTGCTTCGATTCTGGCTTCTTCCTTTGCAGCAGCAGTGGCGGCAGCGGCAGCATCGGCAGCAATTTTCTTCTCTTTGGCGGCTAGAGCTTCAGCTGCTGCTTTGTCAGCGGCTGCTTTCTTGATGGCAGCTTCGCGAGCAGCATCGCGCTCTTCCCGTTCCTTTCGTTCTTCAATGATTAACTTCTCAAGTCGAGCGATTGCTTCATCCTTTGGATCCGGGGGTGGGGGCTCAGCGGGAGCTGGAGGCGGCGGAGGAGGAGGTGGCGACTTGGGCGGAGATGGACTCCGACTCTTCTCTTTCTTAGCCGGGCTCGGTTCGCGACCCTGGATTTGGAAGAATGGCGGAGGCGGGAACATAGACGGAGGTATATGAGGGTACCGCTGGATATATTGGTAGTAAGCAGCCGCCGCCGCAGCAGCCTGTGCTTGAGCCTGGGCCTGAGCATGTGGGTGTCCGGCTCCGGGTAGCATGGGGTGGTGGGGAAGAGCGTGTGGATAGCCGTACGGTACCATTTCCGGAGACATATAAGGCGGTGTGCCGGGAAAAGACGGTGGGTGGCTCATGACCGGGTGAGCCATGGTGGGCTTTGGCGAGTCCTCTTCATCGTCTGGGGAGCCGCTGCGTGAACGGTGCCGGGGAAGGTGAGCATGCGGGTGATGCGGTGGGTGGTGTGGGTGATGAAGTGGCATGCGCTGACCGGCATGCGGATGGTGTGGGTGTGGCAGTCCATCTGGACCAGTGTAGTATCCGTGAGGTAGTTGTTGATGGTGTCCCTGCGGGGGAGGCGGATAGTGCCCCCCGTAGGGGTATTGCTGATGCGAGTATTGACCCATGTGTCCTCCTATAGGGTTCTGATGTCCCATAGATCCCAATTGAACAAGCTGATTTGAAGGTACTCCAGGATGAGCAGCATTAGCATGTTGCGGCTGGGGGAAGGATGGGGGTGCTGGAGGGTGCTGGTGCGGAGGATAAGGGTTGAACGACGGAGCAGACGAGGCTGGACCCTGGGTTGGTGGAGTTGGCCAGAAGCGTCTGTCTGCCGGATTTGGAGCGTAGTCTAGATAGTCGTCCTCGTCCTCCTCTTCGTCGTCTTCTTCGTCCTCCTCTTCGTCCTCCTCTTCCTCTTCGGAGGAGTCTGGTTCAGGAGATACGGGGACCGGAGGCGGCTGTGGAGGCGCCGCTCGGGCGAGAGGTCGTCTTGACCTGTGGGAAGGCACCGCGTGGACTTGTTGGACCTGGGGGTGAGGATGTTGGTGCGCGTGTGTATGCGCACGGGGTTGCTGGTGATGATGGTGCCGCCTCGAAGAACGATGGCGAGATGGCCGAGGATCGACGGGTTCGCGCAGTCTGTTTGAGGTGCGAGGTCGCGAGGCGGAGTCTGATGGCTTTAGTTCGTCAGGGTACTGGAGATGAGACCAAGGACCTCCAACTCCGTAGTCCTGGTATTCGTGGCTCGAGGTGGAAGGCGGAGAGACCTGTACACCTGTGCCAGACGAGTCGTCGTCGCTGTATGAATGATCAGAGGCGGGAGCCACGCGACGGTTCAATCTGAGCCGTTAGCATTCCGTTACATCGGTCTTGATCATATACACACAGAAAGTAAATAAACAACAAGACTTACGGCATGGGACGATTGCGGCGGAAGAGGAAGTATCCGGCCAGATCTCTCCAGGGAACGGAACGATCTGGGAGAATATATCCTCAACTAAGAGCCAACGGCAGGATAATTGAGGCGAGTTGGTGTCGATGCTGGTGTCGTGGAAGTTGGTGTCGAATCTTGGAACTGCAGAAGCCGTGTAAAACCGTGTGAGACTCGGATGTCCAAGGTCGAGTCACCGCTGAAACAGGGAGTCTCGTCGCAAGTCAACGTGTATAGTATATCCGGTATTCCTGGGGTATGCGAACAGAACATGAATCCAGCTAGGGGCGGCTTTTTCTTTCTTTCTTTCTTTCTGGAGGCGAGCTGTGTTTGTGTCTATATAAACTGAATCGAAAAAGGGCGGCCTTGGCTGTTCGACAAAACAGCGGAGCTGGTTGGTATCACGACGGACTAAGAGCCAAACGAGAACAACAAAAAGAAGGCTAACCTGTACGCTATGCTATGCAGTCAGTAACAACTAACGGAGAGACGAGACAACGGGGTATATAAAGAGGAATAACGGAGCATTAGCAGGAAGCAAAAGCAACGGACGGCGGGCGGCGGGAGGTAACCAATTTAAATAAAACCGAAAGGAAAAAAGAAAAAGAGGGCGAAAGGGCAAGGCGGGCCAGGCCAGGGTGAGAGATGCACAGGTGGGGAGTTTGGCCTGCTTGTTGTCTGCTTGTTTTTTCTTTTCTTCTTCTTCTTTTCTGCTCGTTCTGCTTCGCTCTCTATGGCCTGGTGTTCTTTGCTGCCCAATCTGTATCATGACGCTGCAGGCAGGCTGTCGATACTCGGGAACAAGCCCCCCCCTCAGACGAGGAGCAGCAGCAGCACCACGCAAACAAAGGCGGCTAAGCAGAGGCTCAGGGGACGAGGACATGCATTATGTGAGTGATGGCAGAGCGAGTGACGGACATAACTCAGCGACTGACCGTGAGATCGATCTAGATGGGCTGGCGGCCTGCTGGGCTGCTGGTTTGCGCTGCTGTTGGCGGGGGATGCTGGTAGGGCAGACGTAGTTAGGTTCGCCCAACCCAACGGCGGAGACGACCTGATGGGTACCCAGCCAGGGTTGGAGCCGGCGGAGACGCTGGACAAGAAGAACGACGCGGCAGCAAAGAGGATTTGACGGAGAGAAGAAGAGGAGGAAGAAGAAGAAGAAGAAGTAGAAGAGAGGTAGACGAGAAGAAGAAGCGAAAAGTCGAAGTTGAAGTTGAAGTCGAGGAGTTGATGTTTACTTTTGCCTGATCGGGAAAAGGTCATGTGGTCTGCACAGTTTTTGGCGACGACGAAGGCAGAAAGATAAAGATAAAAAGATATAAAGATGAAGATAAAGATGAAGATAAAGATGAAGAGGACGAGATAAAGGAAAGGAGAAGAAAAGGCAGGTCGAGGAACGGTAGGTTTATACAGGTTATACATAGATCGATATACAGACTCGGCATAGATCTGATAGACATGCAGATACATAGAGTGATACACGGACAGATACATAGATACATGATACAGATACAGATACAGATACATGAGCAGAGGCAGAGACAGGCAGACGGAGACAGGCAGAGGGAATGTCACCGCCTGCAGTGAGGCGGCCAGAGTGAGGCGTCGGTACTTCGAGTCTATTCTGCTGCCTAGAGGAGGCCTGCTGGCGGCCATGACTGACTGCATCTCAGGCAGCCTTCAGCTCACTCGCTCATTTACTGGCTGTTATTCATTGACGACGACTGACCTGTTGCTGCTGGTACGGTTGACTGGTCGATTCATCGGTGTCGATGTCAATATCAAATACGAGCCAGAAGTAGAGAACTAAATAAGCAGACAGTTGATATATTGACTGAGCGCCAAAAGAAACGACGCAAGGGAAAAGAAAAGAAAAGGCCTTAAAGTCCTCGCTATTACGTCAATATTCGATATTCCCCATAGTCAATTGAATAGACCGAAGTGAAGAGCTAACTTAAGACGCTTTTTACTTCCCCTCGGACGGATACTCGACGGATTGACTGACTGACTGCTGACCGGGAACCTGCCCCCCTACCCCTGACCAAGGGACGCCTCCTTTTCCTCCTCCACCACTGCTTCTCCCTTACTCATTCCTACCGGCTTCCTGCTTGTGGTGCCACGTCATGCTGTCTTCGCACTTGCTTGCTTGCTTTGCGCGTGGCGGCGTGCCTGCTTGGGTGCTCGTTATTTGGTAGGCTTGCTTACTGGTGGGAGACAGACGATGGAAGTTAGGAGAATAGTTCACTCAAGAAAGATCCCGTCGATCTACTGCTTGTATGCCTGTCTATAGAGAGAGAGAGGGAGGGAGAGCTATGTGCATCAAGCATGGCCATAAGCATATTTTTTGGAGTGCTATGCTAAGTAGATCGACGAACTCTGGAGCTGTTTCTCGCGCACACCCTCAGCTACTCCATACTTAGACTCGGATACCGACAGAAGATCGACGACGATGGAAGATGGTGCATGCACGTATGTACTGTCCCATCAGCTTGACTTGGACAGCCGGTCAAGCAGCGCCTGGGCTGCGATGAGCTCGCTCTCATTGAACTCCGGGCTCCGTCCGTCCTTGCATCTCTCCGTTACAATCTCTCGCAACTTCTGCACGGACAGCTCATTGAGCTTCTGTGTCGTCTCGGCTGTTGGCAGCGTCTCGTCTCGTCTCGACTTGGGGCCTAGCCTCTCCAGCAGCCGAGCGGTACTCTACGACCATGTAAGCCTAGCCACTCATAGAGGAGTAGTACAATAAAGGAGTAAGTGCATACCAGGTTCAGCCCGTAGTACCCGCGCAGATAATCGTCGCAGAGCTCGATGCTTCGGCAGAAGCGTCGTACAGACTCCGCCAGGGGTTTTAGCGTCGTTTCTGCGGACTCGGGGGAGTGTGTTGATATATACAGCAACTCTCCTAGCCGTGCATGCAACTATTCACTCATCAGCCAATGTCCAATTTCAGCTCAAATTCCAGTAGACGAGGACAAAAACGTACGTTCCATGCATTTGGCAGGATGAGGAGAGCTTCTTCGAGACAGAAGATGGACTGTGAAGAGAGACCCTGGCTGTGATACAGGTCCGACAGCTCACACCATGCCTCTGCATCAGTTGGGAATGCATCCAGGAACTCTACCATGCTGGATATAGCCTCACCAGCTCTGCCTAGAGACCGTAGAACAGCAACCCGTCGCTTCAACACTGGCTACACAAATAGTTAGCAAACCATGTCCGGACCGCCTCAGAAATGTCTCATTACTCACAACATTGACTGGATTCTCCTTGAGAATACCGTCGTACTTCTCCAACACCTTCTTCAGCGCCGCCTCGTCCGGCGCAGTAGCCTCATCATATAGCCCTTGCAGCCCCATAACCCGCTCGTTGTCCTTTCCAAACCGACTCGACAATCTATCCAGACACTCCCGCGCAGACTTGTCGTCTCCCGTCCGTAGGCAGGCAGCCAGCAGCTGCTCGTAGCTCGTCCATAGCTCCGGTGTTTCGCGCTGGGTGAAGATCGAGAAGGGGAATGAAGGGAAGCGGGAGGGCTGCGTCTGCAGGAATGAGGGAGCTTGCTGGGACAGGCGCAGCGAGGCCTGGGGGTCGGACGAGCTTAGCCCGAGCTGTGTGTGCAGGAGAGACGTAGACATCGTAAATATTATATCAGTAGCAGCATCCAATTGTCGGGTCGTCGGGACTGGTGTTGCGGTCACATAACACCCACGCAGTTAAACTCCGGAGTTGTAGTTGCGATCCAGCCAAAAGCAAATCGGCGGCGAGTGACGTCGGAGAGCGCTAAGAAGTCCACGCGATGAGTTCAACACAACGTCGCCCTTGCGAAGACTTCGGCTCTGAACATCAACCCTGGGACCACCAAGAGAGACGAACAACTGCAGATACGGCGTACGGCCTGAGCTGTTGCATGCTTTTCCCGGCCGGAGATTTATTACAGACCCTGCAGAGCTAAATATGAAATAGAACCCGCCCTCTGCCATCCCACCACAGCTTGCTCAGCCCGGCGGGATACTCGGACAGCCCATCGACCGCCCTCTATATCGACCGTCGGTGATACTGCGGAGGCCATCTACCGCCATGTAAACTGCCTCATATTCCCAGATTTCTACAGCTGCAGCTACTAATGTGTTGTGCAGGTTCGAAAAGTCGCTGTATGACCTCATCCGAGGTCTGCGGAACCACAAGGGAAGCGAGGGCGAATATATACAGAACAGCTTGAAGGAATGCCGTGCAGAGATCAAGTCTCAGGATATGGGTTAGTGCAGCTGCCTCTTTGCTGGCAGTCTTGCCGAAACTCCTCAAATGTACCGGCGTGTGGAAGCTGACATCCCGGCAGATAAAAAGGCCACTTCGCTGTTAAAACTTATATACCTCGAGATGTTCGGCTACGATATGTCCTGGGCCTCCTTCCATGTCCTCGAGGTCATGTCTTCGCCGAAATTCCACCAGAAGCGTGTTGGATACCTTGGAGCCGTGCAGAGCTTCCGTGTTGATACTGAAGTCCTCATGCTGGCTACCAATCTTTTGAAAAAGGTTCGCATACCATAGTACACTCCGTTTTTACAAGCTACGGTTGCTGATATCATACAGGATATTGTATCTGCTCAGGTTCCTACAATGTCCCTGCCTCTAATCACACTTCCGCATATCATCTCGCCCTCTCTTGCATTGTCACTGCTCTCAGACCTGTTACCTCGCTTGACACACTCACATTCAGTAGTAAGGAAGAAAACGGTGGTTAATCTCTACCGGCTGTCGTTGGTATATCCGGAGGCATTCCGCATAGCGTGGCCAAAGATAAAGGATAGATTAATGGACACAGAGGAAGACGGGAGTGTCACAGCAGCCGTTATAAATGTCGTCTGTGAACTAGGCTGGAGGAGACCACAGGACTTCTTACCTCTGGCACCACGTTTATTTGAACTGCTGGTTGACGGAGGGAATAATTGGATGGCCATAAAAATAATCAAGCTTGTAAGTTTGACCTTTCTCAAGTTAACCAAGAAATATATAGTAGCTAACAGGGGAAATAAGTTTGCTTCGTTAACTCCGCTTGAACCAAGGTTGGTTAAGAAGCTCATACGGCCTCTAACTAACATCATTCAAACGACTTCCGCCATGTCTTTATTATATGAATGCATCAACGGTATCATCCAGGGTGGCATTCTTGACGGCGTAGAAGGGATCCGTGAAGGGGAGGTCATTGCACAATTATGTGTAGACAAGCTCCGAGGCATGCTTGTGTTGGAAGAGGATCCCAACTGTAAGCTCACCCTCGTTGGAAGCACAATGGATTAATACTAACATATTCTCAGTGAAATATGTTGCGCTCCTCGCGTTCAACAGGATCGTGACGACTCATCCCATGCTAGTCTCAGCGCATCAGGATGTAATCATGGGATGTCTTGACGACAACGATATTTCTATCAGACTTCAGGCCCTTGAACTGGTTTCAGGGATGGTCGCTAGTGACTCACTGCAGTCTGTAATCAATCATCTAATTACCCAGCTGCAGACGTCCTCTGCTGTTTCAGACGGTCCTACTGCCACTACTTCTCTACTTGCACACATTACCCCGGCTGCAGACCAGGACGATGAAGACCCGGAATCTCACCTGGAGCTCGCTAGACAGGATAGGATGGCTCCACCCCCACTCCCGAACGAATATCGTCTGGAAGTTCTCCACCGAATCTTAGACATCTGTTCGCGGGATACATATTCCAACCTCACCGACTTCGAGTGGTATGTCGATGTCCTAGTGCAGTTGGTCCGGCTAATTCCACCGGTCAGTGCCTCCAAAACAAATGATGAGCATTCTTCCAGGGACGCCCATGACCAGAGAGCAGATATATCCAATCGAATTGGCTCTGAGCTCCGCAATGTGGCTGTGAGAGTCAGGAGCGTCCGCCCTGAGGCAACTCGCGCAGCCGAAACACTGGTGCTTATAGATAATCGAGCCGCTCTGTTTCCCTCCTCTGGTACTTCAAGCACAAACCTACTAGAGCCCATTGCCTGGATAGTGGGTGAATATGCTGAGTATCTTAACTTCCCGGACCAATCACTTTCATCCCTTATACATTCATCCAACCTGAGTCTTTCTCCCAAGGTTCTTTCAGGATATATTCAAGCCATTCCCAAAGTCTTTGTTCAACTTACATCTCAATTCTATGACTGGAACATAGACAGACAGGGAGAGGTATCGCTCTTGCTTGCACGGATCACCGATTTCTTGGAGAAGCTTTCCTCCCACCCAGAGTTGGACGTGCAGGAACGGGCTATCGAGTTCTTAGAACTATTACGCTTGACAAAGGAGGCGGTATCAACATCAGACATTGAATCGGGGAATGTACCTCTTCTTGTTTCCTCGGCTATACCAAGCTTATTTACTGGCCTAGACCTTAATCCTGTAGCAGCCGGCGCGCAGAAGAAAGTCCCGATTCCAAGTGATCTTGACCTAGATCAACCAATAAATCCTCGGTATATCCACATCCAACGTGAATCAAGCAATGGTTGGCTTGATTCCTCTACCCACGATGAATGCTATCAATTCTACCACATACCAGACTCGACATCCTTTGTCACCAAGCCACAAAAGGAGATCCTTTCCCCCACTCCTATCCAACCAACTTCTTATCAGAATCTTTCCGAAGGGATGTTATCTGAACCTGCAGATGCCGTCGCCAAACGGCGTATGGCAAGAAGAGAGCGCAATAAGGATGATCCTTTCTATATCGGCCTCGGACAAGGTGAAGGGGAATCATCAGATTCAGCTACACCGTTCAACCAGGCGCTACGTGGTGCCAACGAAGAAGACCTAGATCTTGACTCTATTCCCATCATTGATCTAGCAATTGGTCAACAGAACTCAGGAAACCCAGATATCCAAAAGCCACGCAAACCAAAACGCAAAACGAAGCCTAAGAAAGTTGAAATCATAGGAGATGAAACTCTTGAATTCGAAAACCCGTCCTCACCTACCGTTCGACCCGCTTCTGCGCCAACAGGGCCCGGAGCAACAAGACCCAAGAAATCGTTGCTGGAAGTTGATTCCAGCGGACTAGGACAGTTGTCTCTTGAAGAAGATAGTGGCCTAACACCTGGTGTCGGTGATATAGCAAGAAAAGAAGCAGAGGATGCAGAAATGATGAAGGCAATGGCAGAAATCCAAAGACTGCGTCTAGAAATGCAACGGGAAGCAGAAGCCATTCACGGCAGCAAGGAGGTTCCTGCTGAAGGCAAGCTGATCAAGAGGAAAAAGAAGAAGAAGGTTGTATCTTCTAAGAAAACCAAGTCTGCTTCCCAGGAAGCAGAGGGTGAATCCTCTCAGCCTCAGGAGAAGGCTGCAGATGAGGAAGCTGGAGCTCCTGTGGTAAAGAAAATGAAGAAGAAGAAAGTCGTTGCATCTCAGAAGGAGGCGCCCGTGCAAACGGAAGGTCAGGAGTAGTTTGTCCATACTATACAACTAGGGGGAGTTCGGTTTATTCGACCTAGGAAGCTTTTTTGGATTTTTATTTGCATAAGCGGGTAATATGCACGTATCTCAACGAAGTGATGGCTAACTTTGTGGATATGCATGATAGATATGACATATTTTTAGAGTTGAAAAAGTATTGCATAGTTTACATAACTAAAGGAATATTTATCAGGAATTTTGTATTTATGGTTACTTCAAGCTATCAGAAAGGTATTGATTCCGTCAAAACCGAACCCCCTTTTTTACCGAAGGGATAATAATAGGTCTTAAATTCTTAAAATACAAAAGCTAGAGAATACGCCACAAATAATGGCGCTTTGAAAGAATGAAAATTAAAGCAGAATATCAACAATGGAACGAGGCAATGCTAGGTTGAAGGTATAAGGAGGTTGATAAAAAGATTGTAAAGGTGTATCTCTTAGCTGGTCCATTTGGTGATGAAACTAGAGAAATAACCCCATATGGCAGGGACAACTCTAAGTAGTTCGAAAACGAGACCGCCGCATAGGACAAAAAGTAGTAGGACTGGCGGTAGGAGACAAGTTAGCAGCTGTATTTGATATCCGAAAACATGGAGAAATAAAAATCGCAGTATATGCTGGCCACTATATAATATCACATACCAACCCAGCCCATAGATATGGGAGACTTGGCCTTTGGTTTCGTCTTAACCGCCGCTTCTGGTTTTCCGCGCTTGGATGCCTCCTTTTTGGCAAATCTCTCGTTGGCCCTTCGCTGCTGGGGAGTTTGTGGAGCCTAATGATTGTAAGCAAGAAAGTTAGATTGATTGATTCAAAGCAGCTAATTATAAGGAAGCTTCATAGCCGACATACCATTTTTTGTTATAGACCTGGGAGGTTAATATAGATAATAGAATCAAGGGGGTGGATGGTTGTCGCTTATTGGCGCAAGAGCTTTCAAGAATCGCCCAAGAAGGGACTTCGTGGGATGTGAAAGAGTGTGTATCGAAGGGTATCGCCCGGTTCTGAACTGGATGTGTATATATATCACAGTGTTGGGCGAGGGTGGTCAACTGGCCAACTGTCCTCTAATTGAGGCACCAATCCTGGGTGGAGTGTGGGTGAAATAAAGGTAGTGATAGGCTTTAAAACAAAAATCGAGTGTATCTGGAGGTCCTCTAGGCGAATTGGGTCATAAAGAGCGCTGCTGGCCGTTTATCTCGTCGGTGATCATTGATGTGCGTTCGAATATCGAAAGTGAACACGAGAGCATCTTTCATGATGTCAGTCGCTTATGTCATCTGCATGATTATGTTATCTTGCCAAGTGTTTTGCTTTTTCTGTGATTAAAGTTAAAGATGACGAGGAGATGAAGATACAAACATTCCAACCTTTTAGCAGCTTCAGCTTATGACAGCTTGATATCAAACCCCTTCACGCAGAGTACTGATCTGGTACAATTTGATATTTTACACAGGATGACCTACATTTGCCGACGGAGCTATAGCAGCAACTCCAAGCTATCCTCGCCTCATGTAGGTACACCAGATGAATCCCGACCTCCAGGAACAAGCTCACTAATCTGTACATTTAGGTCATGGTATACAAGAACTTCGGCCGCCCCTTTGTAAAGATATTCATAGGCTCCTTGGTCTGCTATCAAGCTGCTTATTGGGCATGGAATAAACTAGAGCGGGAAGATATAATTCACCGCAGCGGCAGTGGAAACGGTATGGAATCTCTCCATTTTCTCCCATTTATTCATACTTATTTCCGAGTCATTAGGAAAACCCGCGCAAGCGCCAAACAATTGATTATTCTGGAGGAATGAAACCTTCTCTATATTTATAGTGCAACTGATGGCCTTTAGAGCCGAGTCAGTGTCATATCAATTAAATTTTACGGGCATATTGGATCGGCGAAACATCCGACTTCTAACCGGAGCATCGGTGTTAAAATTTCGAGCATACAGTTTTTTGGGAACTTCTACGATTGAAGAAATCAAACAGAAGAGGGCCTTCATTCACCTTCTGCTCGGACAAATCACGACCAGCACACGCCGCGTATCATAATACTAGCTTGGCTCCCTCCCGTTCAAGCCAGGTGATACTACCTCCTTGACTACAGCTCATATCCTTCTTCCTCAATGATGGTACTGGTTTGGACTGAGCAGGGTCAAGGCAGAACTGCAGCAGTCCCTAACTTATGATTGTTTCTTACTATCCGCATGTATTTACTACCGGTCCATCAACTAGCCCTGACTGATTGCGAGCGAGCGTGAATTGCCTTGATATTAAACTGCTATTTACAGCTAGCTTCTAGATGACAAGCATACCATTATGACTCTACCTAGTTAAAAGCAAAGCCATAGGAGAACATCCCTTTTAATCAACATATCTCACTACCCCACCCCGAAACCAAAATTAGGCAGTCTTGTTGTTCAGTCTGTCCAGAACATCCTTCGGGACATATGATGGGTCGAACTGTGCAATGCCAGCGCAGAACTCCTTGATCTTTGGAACTTCGATAATCTTGTTCCACCACTTCTGGAAGTTGGGAAGCTCGGAAACTTGTTCGGCATACCACTCGTCTCCGCCGATTCTCTTTGCCCAGAAGAACCATGGAACCAAGCAAATGTCGGCGTAGGTCATCTTACCACCAACAAGCCACTCCTTGTCTTTCAATCCCAAGTCGACGACACCCATAACACGACGGGTCTCCTTAGCATATCTGTCAACAGCAGACGGGAACTTCTCGACGTGATACCATTTGAACCCTGATAACATGAGTGACTTGGTTAGCTAGCCCGTCACCTTGCCCTAAAGAATTAACGAGGATCATGATCTGGTGAACGTACATGAGAATTGGCCGATATATGGGCCTTGACCACTGACTTGGAAATGCAGCCACTGTCTCAAGTGGTATTTCTCGTGCAGCGAAGAGAAAGAGATGGTGTTCTCCTTGTCGTATTCGTCAACAAGGTACTCTACAATGGCACCAGACTCCCAGAGATAGAGGCCAGTGTTAGGGTCGTGGATAGCAGGACAGCGGCCATTGGGGTTTATGGCGAGGTACTCGGGCTCCTTGCACTGTCTGAAGTCGGTAGACTTGAGCTCATAGGGGATGTTCAGGATCTCGAGGATGATGGCCACCTTGACGGGGTTGGCTGTGGGGTAGATGCCGTAGAGAACCAACGGCTTGATGTCTCGGGGAGCCATTGTCAGCGTAGATGTATAGAGGTATACTGTCTATCGATTGTTACTTGGAAAGAAGATGGATTGGATGGTTAGGAACTTGATGCCAGAGTCCAGCATGCCGTCTTATTTATACATGCCGACGAAGCTCGCAGCCCCTCCATTCCCGCAACGCCCAGCCAGCCGTCTCCCCACAGCGGCCCTTCACGGCCAAACCCACGATTGGATACATTGCGATCATACATATGATTAGCGCCGCGGATTATAGAGCGCGAGGTCCGAAATCAAGGCAGACTGTTTAATAATCTCTCAGATATGACCCTTCGATATACGGATGGCTGAAATTCCATTACATCCACCTATATCACAATTATAACAACATAGAGTGAAGCATTCCTCTTCCTATTGTGTATGTCAAGCCATATCTTACTCTATCCTATTTACCTTTCGGAGAGATCTACTATTTTCGCCCTTTCTGATATCTCTGCGGAGCATTTGCTCCCATTTAAGCTTAACTAACTAGTTATTGAAACAAAACGTCTGTCTGGCCCCACACGATGGTTGTTTCTGAGATATTCGTAATCCAAGATGAAGTATTGAATTGACCTTGTGTCTAGAACCAAATGGAATACTTACTCTTCTAATCCCTTGACTTCCCTAAGGCCTAAACCTACCCTATCTAAGTGTCACTAGATTGTATAGGAGTTGCAGCAGAAAGGGAGTATGGCTTAAGATATAGATAAAACAGAGACTCAACTATATCCTGAGAAGAATGTTAGGTGATTACGGTGTTATTTCAGCAACTCGGTCTTCAAACGCTGGCATCCGAGCGATTAACTAGGCCATTCAATAACTAATCAGGAGTCCAGCCAATGCTGCTAGTTAACTCCGAGAGGCAGGGGGGCATGCAGACTAAACATGGGCGAACAGGCAGCAATCCACGATGCATGAGGGACACAGTTCATAGTGCCAGAGACAACTTAGAATCACAGTCGGAACCACCTACTCAGTCGTCCTTTGGTGTCCTCATTTGGTGACAAGCAACAAAGAAAGATATCTTAGTTTCAATCCTATCCATCCAGCAATATGTGCAGATACTTTGATGCTCCGATTTTGCCTGAGCTCTGCAGCCAGGACCCAAAGCACGTTGTCACGATCCGGTACTACGACCTCTGTGATAATCCCCAGGCGCTGGGAACGTATCGTCACTGCTCGAATGCCTACGCTTCTCCGGGAAGTAATATTTTGTTGGGTTCTTCTCGAGCGCCACGAGACTGTGCTACCTGCTTGAACCCGAACAACGTCTCTGTTGCGGTAAGGCTCAAGTAACCCATTTGTGACTTACTTAGTTACGGGCAGCCAAGTTAACGTTATATCTGTCTGTCCAGTACTACCTCAACCGCGAGATTGCTGCCGTTGTCTTCCGGAGTTAAGCCCACTACCAAACACGGCCACAAGCTTACGCTACCGTTCCACACCGGGGTTCATCTTGGAAGTGCCTTGGGGCATTTTATATATGTAACTACCTAATCACTAGGTTATGCCTATCTGCCTCTCAGACGTGGAGAACCCACATTTAGTTACCACGAAATTATTAGATTGTTAACTGGTTAACTTAGTTTATCAAGCCCCTTGCTACTTCATCTTAGTTAACTAAAGTAATCAAAGGGCGTTGGGGCCTGTCGTGAGAGGTTATTTTATTGAGTGCACCCATGGAAGGGTAATTTTGAAGCTCCCCTACAAAGCCCTTACTTAGGCAGTGAGCTCGTAGCAGATGGAACCATTTTTAGGTATAATACAAGTCACGTGGATGGAGGTTTTAGTCAAGGTTCCAAAGTTAAGTAAGTAGTGGAGCCTGGGCTGGACTCAGGGGAATCTAAATGTTTAAAATACTGCTGCTTTCTCCAGTTCAAGAGTCCACCATCAAGCAAAAAGATGGCAAAACCCGCAGAATTCTCGGATAAACTCCTTGGTCTTGGGATGATGAGTGCTGTCATCGCACTCGATGACCACACCGCGCATAAACTTCCCTTGATCCCAGAGTATCACGATGCTGTCCTTACCGAGAGGAGAATTTTCGAGCGGCTCGGAGACCACGACTGCGTTGTCAAATACATACGCCCGGAAGGAAATGGCCTCATCCTCGAAAGATTACGGTATCCGCTTCGTAAACACCTCTTGAATCTCCAAGAAGATGGAGGTCCCCCCCCTCACAGAGACGAAATACTGAGATGGGCAATGCAAATTCTGCGTGGTTTCCAACATCTTCATTCGCATTCGGTATATCAGTTCGACATTGGCTGCCATAATATTCTGCTTGACTTCGACAACAATGTAAAGCTGTCTGACTTTTCAGGCTCGCTGATTGACGATGGCAAAGTCGAGGTTTTGCCAGAAACGCGCTCTACTCATCCGTGTCTAATACGCACCAAAGGTCCCATGCCCCTTGAACCCACTGTGAAGACGGAGCTCTTCTCCATAGGCACCGTGCTATATGAAATGTCAACGATCTACAAGCCATATCATGACAAAGGAGATAGTGAGGTAGAGAAACTCTACCTGAAGGGTTTATTTCCAGATACCACCGGCCTGCTCCTAGGCGACATTATACAGAAATGCTGGACCGAGAAGTACAATGATACCAAGGAAGTCATCGAAGATCTTCAACAAATTCAGCCTGGGCTCAATGACGGAACCGAGGTGCAGGGCTCCAAATATCACGGGAATCATACGTACGTATTGCCGTGGCTAACTGCTCTGCACTTAGCTAACCCATATTTTCTAGCTTCATTTCTGGGCTATCTACATTTATCTTTCTTGTTTCGGCTGCACTTGTAGCAAAGCAATGCATGCATCCTCAAGTCGCATAGTTGGCACCAGCTACACTACGTATTCTTGTATTAAATACAAGCGTACATCAGTTTGGACAAGTAAACCCCACTGGAACAGGATACCCGTGCTATCAGCTATATGATATGCAACGGTATGTATATATATAACAGGATTTTTTTCTTCGTTGGCCGCAGGGTTTAAACCTTGGAGGACGGGTATGGAGTCAATGGAACCCGGAAACAAATCCCAGACCACCTTGTGATAAAGCCCATTCAGGTTTCTAGGCCATGTGGTCATCTGTTTGCCTTTGACGATTTGACTCGGTATGTGATTGCCTTGGAATTGGACAATTGGGTGAAAGATATTGAATACCCATTGGTCGCCTTGTTATAGAGCGTTGGATTAATATGTTTGAGAGAAAGCATCACGGAAACCAACACCACATCAAGATACCGCAACCCTGCTTGGAGATATTGTTATGAAGAGCATCAATACACTTCAACTTTGTTTGGGATATTATATTTTATACAGCATCTCCAGGAAAAATATCCCGATCTAGACTCTCCGCAGCATAGAATATATAATCAGATAAAAAAAACCTACCACCTTGCAATATATCATAATAAGAGCCAAAATGTCGACCAAAAACTGTCAAATCCATCCGACAAATAGCTTTTTCACCACAGCTCTAAAGGGGAAGCGAAATGTGTTTCTCTTTCAAAGTCATGGCTGGAACAAGATTCAGTCACGTGGCTGATCAACTTCGTTGAGGTTCCTCCAAGCTTGTTTCTGGCTAAAATGAAGCCGGCAGCGAAGTAAAACAACCAACCGTTGAGACTCCAAGGAGACATTCTGGTCAAAGAGAGAAAGATACATAAATACGATGGGTGGATATAATGAGAACGAGAGCGCCGAGTCGCACCTGGCGAAGGTATGGCTTTCACGATTCCTGGCCCAGACCCCGCACCGTTAACAGTGACAGCATTGCTAACTTCTAGTATTATCATAGGCATTTCAAGACATAGCTAAGTAAGTGGCACCAGGCCGCATTGTTGGACCGTTATATATATCTATAAGCGCGAGAATTCATATCTAACATCTTGTGTCTATATAGAGGCGAGCAGACAGCGCAAGCTATTGAGAACCATCTTACGCGCATAGAGCAGGAGATAGATCGTCTCCTTGGATCTGTTGAAGCGGAAAAGGAAGACGGAGGCGAAGTAGCCAAAGACGACGACAAGGAGAAGCAGGAGAAGAAGCAAGAAGAAGAAGAAGAAGAAGAGAATGGGTCTGACGAGCAACAGAAGGGGGATAAGCAATGAAAGATAAAACTATTGGAAACCAAACAGTTTCTCCAGCTCGAAGAGCCCGTCTGCGTTCTTCTCTGCGACTCCGACTTCCGTTACAATGGCATCGATCAGGTCATAGGGTGTGACGTCGAAGGCGGGATTCCAGACGTCGATCCCGGGAGCAGCAATGTTGACGGTCTCGAGGGTGATGTTCTCCTCATTCCTGCCGAGATCACTGATACGTGGCCCTGTGATTCTGGTGACTTCGGACTTTGCTCGTTCCTCGATTATGATATCCTCTCCTTCCTTGGTACGCAGGTCGATGGTCGTTCGGGGCGCAGCGACGATGAACTTTACACCATGATATTTGGCGAGCACGGCCAATTGGTAGGTTCCGATCTTGTTGGCGGTGTCTCCGTTTGCGACGACTCGGTCTGCTCCTACCACGATGGCGGCAAGACCTGTCCCCTTCTGAGCGAGTAGCGAGGCGGCCATGGAATCTGTGATCAGGGTGGCGGGGATCTTGTCGTGGACCAGTTCAAAGGCTGTGAGTCTGGCGCCTTGGTTGTACGGCCGTGTTTCGGTACAGTAGGCGTGCTCGAGCTTGTCTGAAGCATGGAGGGAGCGGATGACTCCCAGTGCTGTTCCATACCCGGCTGTTGCAAGAGATCTAGATAATAAACCAATTAGCCTGCCTTGCCCATGCCTTGAATTTCTATTATTCTCTCTCTGGTTTGATATCGGTCAGCGTACCCCGTGTTGCAATGTGTCAAGACACCGACTTTCTTGCCGTCCTTGCCAACAGGTGTGTTATTCATGATCCATGCAGCGCCGAAATCTCCCAGTCGGTGGTTATCCATGGCATCGTCAATCAGCATCTTCTCCGCAGCCTCGACATAGGCCTCTGCCAGGTCTTTTCCCTTGGGATCCCCGATCTGCTTCCTCTTCTGCACCAGCGCCTTCAGCTTGATAGCCGCATCGCTCAGGTTCACTGCCGTAGGCCGACTGGTAACCAAGTAGTCTAGCTTCTCTAGTATGAACGCTTCGACCTCGTTTGCTTCAGCGGACAGCTTGTCATGGTCCATCAGCTCCGTCAGCTCGATCGAGAGGGAGAGGACGGCAACGATAGCGATAGCTGGTGCGCCTCTGACATGCATCTCCTTTATAACATGCCATCCTTCCTTTGCCGTTGAAACGGGGATGTATCGCTCGACGTGAGGAACCTGGAGCTGGTCCAGGACCTGCAGCATCCCGCGCTTGTACCGGATAGATTGGAGAGACATGGCGGGCTATCCTGACGACGACCCCTTCGCAGGCTGATCTAGGTCTCCTTATCGTGGGCGGATAGGCGCGAAGGTGGTTATTCTTCAGCTGTAGCTGGCTGCGGGAGAGAATCGTAAGCTGGTAACGGGTGGGGGAGGGGCAAAACGCTGGATATAAAATTTTAATCGGCATGTATAGAGCCAGTACGGTTATAGGGCATCACCACGGACTAAAGTCGGTGAAGTAGTGAATACAAGAAATCATTCGCGGAGCTCTATCTGGCAACATGACGTTTTTCTACTTCAAGACCGATTTCATCGGCGAAAAGGCAGAAGTACAGATGCTCGTAGATCTACAGGAGGATCATAGCAGCTTAAGCTATAACAGCGATGGAATGCTCAGGGAAAAGCTCCCTAGTGTCATCGACTGCTTCATCTCACGTCCCCGGATGCAACGCCATGCTGCTTACTGCCCCTTGGCACGGCGGGTGTCGTTCAATCTCATCCAAGCTGACTCCCTAAACGCCCATAGTCCATAACCCTAATTCATTCAGATTTCGCCTGCAGAGTGTACCGAATAAGATAAAGCCCAAAAGGCGTCCTGGAGTTGGATCGTTATAGTGTCGCAAGCGTATTCAGATGTGCAAGGAGAGCTTCTAGTCCGCTGATATGTAGAGCACTATCAATCGAGTCAGTCTGGGATCCCCTGAACAAGACATAGCCCAAGCATACCATTGTTCCCTCGTACGAATGCATCACCGTAGCTCCGTCTCATTTTACCGTTGACGTATTCCTCGGTCTTCTCCAGCGCAATGTTCATGTAGCCGTCAACGGACTGTAGCTCGCCTATACCGAAGAATTAGACCTTATTTTCCTGACAACCACCGCCATAACATGCGGTCTATAGCAACAGGAAGAGAACACACCTTTGTAGACGACGCCGGAATTCAGCTTGACGGTGACTGGAGCACCGGTGATCTCTCCCAGGAAAGCAGAGGGATCTTTGCCCTCGGAAGCAGAAGTGGCCTCCATTGTAATTGCAAGTCAGATAGTGCAAGCAGCAAACCTAGAGCCTCCTCGAGTCAGACCAACAGGCGGTGCTATCTCTGTAAACTGGCGAAGATCAGCTCAGCTTCATCAAACCGTCCTGGTCTCTTTTGTCTTTGTCTTCGTCTTCGTCTTCGTCTTTGATTCTTCGACTTCAACAACACAAGAATCCCTCACGTGACTGACCGAGTTGGTTAAATTGAAAACGCGACGCGAGCAAGTTTCAAGCAGCGAAAAGGAAGAAGAGAAAGACGAGAAAGAAGAGAAAGACCGTTGAGAGAGCAGGGTTCGATACCAGGAGAGCTTGCAGCAGCGACAGAGAAAGGCTGAATAGCTGTTTTGGCTGCTGGCGTCAATGGCCCGTGGAAGTTTGCGTCTATTCAACTAATCAACTGCGTCATTCATCCAGCAACCCAGCAACCGAGCTTGCCAGCTATAAAGAAGCGCCAGCCTCGAGGGCAATTCCTCGCAGCTTCATCCCACTTTCACACAAAGACAGTAAACGGCTAACCGACCAGCAAATGAGATATACGCTCACTCTATAACTGAATACCAGAGCGCCATGGCGTCATTCTTCAAGAAACCAACCTGGGCGCAGGCATCCACTCCCGCAAAGCCGCAGGACTTCTTCCGGCGCTCCAACCAAGTGTATTCGGACTTTGTGGCCACGACTCAAGACGAAGATGAGACTGATGATGAGGCCGCTACAGCTAAAGAGACTCCTTGTGCACCTAATGAGCCCAAGAGACGCCGCATATCCAATGAAGACGAGGACGAGACCACTTCAACGCTTCAGCCCAGAATCAAATCACCACCCCAGGAGATTGCAAGTGGAAGTGACACACTTACTAGGGATACCCCTCCCAAGCTGGAAGAAGCCGGGACCAGCAAAACACCTCCAAGGTCTCCACGTTCTGCTCGATCGAGTCCCAGGAAGCCCGGCTCACAACGGAGCAGTCCGAGGAAATCACAATTGATAGGAGCCTCACCGCCAGGCACTATCATTCGTCTTAACTCGGAATCTCCTCCTCCTCCGGCATCCCGAGTTCCTCCAAAGTCGGTAATACAGATTGACTCCGACTTGGACAATGATGGAGACAACGACGAAGAGTCCGATGAGGACTGCGCAGCGTTGATCAAACGAGCTCGAGAAAGGGCACGTAATAACCAGGTGCGGGAGGAGAACAAGCCGGCATCTCCCAATGGCAAGGATAATACCACCAGGAAGACGACTGGAACCCCATCGGCGTCCCCCAAGGCTGCTTCCAATCCATCACCGAAGAAAAAGGACACAGTTGTGAATATCCTTATTACATCTAATATTCAAAACACCAAGTCGCTCCTAGTCCGTCGCTTACTGTCACAGAACCTAGGAGAGGTACGAAAGGCATGGTGCAACCACCAGAAATACGACGAAGAGACCTCGGATAATATCATCTTGACCTGGAAAGGAAGACGGCTATTCGACGTAACCACATGCAAGAGCCTAGGTATCAACGATACTGACACCAACGACAACTCGGTGTTTGACTCTTCCCCCTTTGACATGGAAGAAGGCAATGCCGGCGTCCACATGGAGGCCATGACAGAGGAGATGTTGGAAGAAAGACGCCGAGCAGCAGCCACCGCCCAGCAGGATAACAGTGAGGAAGAGAGTGAGGACGAACAGCCAAAGGCTCGAGAGCCAGCTGACACGGACCTGGTTCGGATTACCCTCAAGAACCCGGATCTAGATGATTTTAGGATCAAAGTACGCCCCTCAACGCAGATTGGCAATATCTTGAAGAAGTTCCGGCAAGTTAAGGAGATACCAGAGCACATTTCTGTTTCGCTCTATTTTGATGGAGATAAGTTGGATCCAGACACTTTGATTGAGGATAATGATATTGACGACATGGATTGCATTGATGTTATCATGAAATAACTAGCTATCGGCAGCGGCAGGCTTTTGCACAGTAACCCTAATACTCGGTACTTTTTTGTCAAAAGTAGACATCCAGATAGAACTACCTCATAAGATTATCCGTCTTCTATCACTGTCTGTCTCTTATTTACTGCGTAGTCTAACCAGCTAGTTATAATACGCCTACTATAGGGGGTCGATCTCTTATCGATAAGCTTCTTCCCTCCCCGCGATAAGCAATTTTTTTACTGAAGCTAAAAATCATTCCACGACCGCAGACCGACCAACTTGACATACCTTTAACAAGACTCACAACGAATACAACGACATCTACGACCCATTAAAGCTATATAGGAATAAATACACCTCCCAAGAATGAAAATCCTTACCTCAAACTTCGTCACCTGCGCCGTCAAGGCATGCAAATCCTCCTCCGCCTCATACCCACTACACTTCCGCAACGCAGAGCTCGAGGAAGAAGAACTCGACTTCCAGCCTGATTTTATCCGAAATATCCTGCCCCGGATAGACTGGGCTGCTCTCAAAATAAGTGCGAGTGAAGTGAGTTAGGCCATCTCCGTACCGTTGAGTAGTGCGCAGACGCTAATTGAGCCTTTGCAACGGGTGTAGCTTGGGTTCCCATCGATAAGCGAGTCGAAGCCTGAAGGCGAAGAGTTGAATAATGAGCAGTTGCTACGGGATTTGCATAAATTGTTACTTGAAACGCATGTGGTGGAAGGGGAGCTGGTGTGCGGGAACTGCGGGCATGAGTATAAGATAAAAGAAGGGATTGCGAATTTCTTGCTCCCGAGTCATCTTGGTATGTTGCGTTTTTAAGGATATACTTGGATGTTTGCTAACGGGGTGATTTGCAGTATGATTGATGTGGGAGTTGATACTTGATTGATGGATGGAGATAGATGGATATACCCGGGATACCAGCACCTGGTTCTCGCCAGACAGTAGGGGTGTTATAGCAATATAACAACCCTACGCTTTTCAAACTTATAGCTCCCTTGCTTTAATAAAGGGCCCATGCCGGAGAAAGGTACAAAGCATGCCCACCAGCGGCCAAAACTGAATGAAAGATAAAGATTCTCATCATGTATTGATTTATTTCTTTAAACTATTTATCAGCCTTTTCCCCTCCCCGACCAACCAACAAACAAACACTTGGTCAGCGCCATGATACATTTGCTCCCGGCATGAAAGGAAAGAAAAAAAAAAAAAAAAACAACAGCATGGCATAAAAGAGAACATGGCAGAGCAAACAGACCCATATCTATCCCATCCAACCAGGCAAGCAAGCAAGAGCAAACCATCCAGCTAATATACACATGTAATAGAAGCAGACAGACAGATAATAGGAGGCAGAGAAGGAGAAAGATGGGAATTATTACAGGGCGAAGAAAGGATGGGGTTGGTTTTTTCTTAAAAAGCATTAATTGCAGCAAGTAAGTGGGATGAAAGGAAATGCAGTATGGGAAGAAATATACTGATGAGAAAGAAGTCAAGGAACGCCAATCGTTAAAGGGTAAAAGGGAGAAGTCAGTGTAATCAAACGCCCGTCCCTGTTTTAAAGTAGTTGATATTATTCCCTTGGCTGTAGACTGTATATCTATAGCTTTGTAGGGATGAGATGCCCAGAGTTCTGGTTGGGTGCTTTTGTTGAAGGCGGCGGCGCACAAGAGCATGCGTTTTGTGTGATGTGCTTGCGAGCGCGGGTAGAAGAGTCAGGGGTATTCAACACCAGTAACAACGCCGGTGACAACGTTGGTGTTTGAGTATCACAACCAATATCAATGGTAATGGTTTAGTTGAGGAATCCCTTGCAGCCCGTCGAGCCACAGAGACACGGGATACGGTCATCGCTATCCCACTCTCGCTCGAACTTGTAGTCGTACGTCAATTCCTCATCTACACAGAAAGTTAGCAACCTATCATAAATAGATAACAATAGCTTTGAATGGATCAACCCACCTCTCTCAATGTCCCTGAGGGCATAAATGACGATACGCTTACTTCCGTCGACCTTGATGATCTTCGCCGTGCAGTTGGGCGTGCAGCTATGATTGATAAAGCGCGCAATGCCACCATGCTTCGTAGCGTCGATGACGGTATTCTCATCAATGCGAAACAAGTAACTGCTGCCAATGCCGGACTTGAGGTACCGTCGCTCACGCATATCAGCCACCTGCTGCCGGACCTTCTCACCAACGTATTCGATAATCATGTCGTTCGCGGTGATATTTTCCTCGGCATACAGACCCCAATTGTGGATTGCCGAGCGAGCAAAACGGACGGGCTTCTTGCGTTTCTTAAGCTGGTTGAAGCGCAGCACGTCTCCTTCGCCGCTTTGGGTGGGCAGAGCTTGTTTCTGCGCATTGATGTCGGCTATTAGACGGCGGTTGTTGACGCGGTTGGAGCGGGAGGAGGTAATGGTTGATTTGGAGAGGGTTTTGGCGGCGATGACTCGAGCTGCGTCCGCGGCGGCGGTAGGGTCGCTTTTAGCTAGGGCTTCGCGTTCTTCGCGGGCCTTTTGGACCTTGATGCGGTGAGGGAGGTATTTGGATTTTTCGGACTCGAGGATACGTTTGCGGCCGTCGGTGCGGGCGGAGCCACTTGGGTTGGGGACGTAGTAGCCGTCTATCTTTATTTCGGAGTGGACGGGACCGCGGGCGCCGTGGCTGTTGATGGCCTTGATTTGTTTCTGGTTCCAAGCCCAGGCTGTGACGTTGGTGATGATGGGGGTGTTGGGTTCGGATTGGAGCGAGGTGGATTCTAGAGCTTCTCGGAGGAATCGAAGGTCTTCTGTGTCCTTGACTATGTTCTGCCATCCGTCGAGGTCGAGAACGATGCCTTCGTCGTCTTCGACTGTGGGCTTGGGCTCGGTAGTTGACAATCCCCATTCTACCTCTGGCTTGACGTATCCGTCTTCCTCCTCTTCTTCCTCATACTCTTCCTCCTTGGCCTCGATGTCAAGTTCCCCTTCAATAGGCGTGACGGCGAGATCGAGATCGTCAACTTTGGGAATCAGGCCCTGATCCGCAGCAGCCTGGAGTTCAGCAAGTTTAAGAGCCTTCTTCTCCTCGAGAAGCTGCTTCTTGGTCTTCCTCTTCGGTTTCTTGCCCTTTTCTTTGCCGAGTCTTTGGGCCTGCGAGTCCACGAGAGCAGACAGGTCGTCGTCCGGTTCCTGGCCGAGATGAGACGTATCGACACCGAATAGTTCGTCCACTGTCTTCCGCCGCTTCTCCATCTCCAGCAGCTCCAGACTGAGTCGTTTCCGTTTCTTCGAGACACGTTCATAGTCACCTGGTTCTCCCAGCAATTCACGGTCGAGGTCATCCAGCTCTTCCTTGATCCCAGCCGAGTCGAGACCGGAGTCTCCAAAGCCAGATACACTGGGCACAAGGGAGCCCCGTAGATTCTCGTCGTCGTCGTTGTCTGCCTCGCTGGACAGGCGGGAGAGCGGCCGAGACTCCTGGTCTTCGGTATCGCGGGTGAAGGAAGTCTGGTGCTCGTCGTCGGAGTCATCTTCGTCATGAAGCTGTTGAAGCCGGTGATAGAGCGGTCTGAACTCCCTCCTGCGCACAGTGGGACGGCGTCTTCGTTCGTCGACAAAGGCAGAGTTGTTGCGTTCAAAGTCTCGTGCTTTTCTGATGCGCGGTAAGGCGAGGACGTTCTTCGACTGCGCACCAGGCGGTGCAGGACTGTTTCGTGAGTCCGTGGCGCTTTCGCCCAGCCCGGTATCGAGGTAGAAAGCCGGCTTCTTGATGCCCTGCGGGTCAGCGATGCCTAGCTTCTGTCTCTTTGCGCGGTGCCGGTCCGGATCCAGGAAGTCGTATAGTGCCGGAGCGGCAATGCGAGTCTTGATATCTTCCAGAAGCTTATCCCTGAGCTCACGGATGGCAATGGCAACGACCTCGGTGGTTGGATCGACGTTTTCAGCCCGTAGACGCTTCTCCTCTTCCACGTCCAGCTCTGTCTCCCGCTTGAGCCGTGCCTTTTCGGATTTCTCGCGCTGCTCGGCCTTGACTCGTTCGGGGCTGGGACTTCGTTCGTAGGATGGGTTGCCGTACTGCTGGCACTCCATGTTCATGACATAGGTGAACAGAGCAGTCATGTGGCAGCCCCGAAAGCAGCGTTCGCACTCGAGCTCTCCTCGACGGGAGTTTTCGAACAAGACATAGTAACCTGTGTTGTCGCACCGGACGGACTTCCAGTCGTATAGCTTGAGACGTCGTTCTAGATGGGGTACGGTGGTGCTGAGGACGGGAACGTAGCAGTGTGCAATGAAGATGTAAGGGTCTCGTTTGATCTGGTCTAGGATGGGGGTCTCTTCGACGAGAGAGGGTGGTTTTGGTGCCGCGCGAGGTCCGTCTGGTGGTTGGAGCTGCAGGGCCGGGTGTAGAGAGGATTTACCAGATGGTCCCTTGGGGGCTGTAGGGGGCGGTACATTATCCTTTGGTTGTGATTGTGATTGCGATGATGGTTCGGTTTCTGCTTTGGGCCCGGTAGGTAGTAGAGGTAGAGGTGGAGGAGGAGGGGGAATGTCGGATTTCTTAGACGCAGCAGCAGCAGCGGCATCACTATTCTGTTGTTCAAAGACAGCCAGCTGTTCCTGCTTCTGCAGAGCAATGAGCTTTGCGACGATACGGTTGCAAGCAGCGGAGTTCCGGTCGAGCTCTACTCTGATGCGCCGAGTACCGATGCGCTGTTCCTTCTTGCACTCGAGGTACGCTCTCCGGGCGGACTGGGCAGCTGTGAGAGGAGAGCCGCCACGCAGAGACCTGGTGTCCTTGTAGGTGATGGAGCAGACACCGAGGAAGCGGCCCGTGGTGGGATCCGTTCTGTTGTCTATCTCCGCGATCTCGCCGAAGCTAGAGAAGAGGGCGCTGATGGGAGCCACGGTGGTGAGGGGGTCGTAGCCGGTGACGACGATCTGGGTGGGCGGCCCGGGCCCTATAGAGGTAGCTGGATCGTAGGCCCATGGCTTGAGGGTGTAGGGAGCCGGTCTGTACTTTGTCTTTTGCTTGCTGGCGGCGCCGCGGGTGTAGTTTGGGATAGCTCTCCGGGGGTCTGATACTACTGCTGGTGATGCCGGGCCAAGGTTCTGGCCCAACTCGGGTTCAGCAGCGGCGGCCACGGCAGCGTCTGAGGCGGGCTCACCTTCACCGAAGGCGACGTACTGAGGTTTCCGGCGCTTGTCTCTGGACGCAGGAGGCCTCTTGTCCAGGTCCGGGTCGTAGACGAGCTTGTAGCCCCTGGGCGGAGGAGGCAGCCTACTACTAGCAACGACGGCCTTGGCGTGGTCCTGGTCATGGTGATGGTGATGGTGGTATTTCTCATATTCCACGGCGGAGGCAGAGGCAGAGGCAGAGGTAGCGGTGGAGATGGAAGACTGCTCAGAGTCGGCCAGCCGCGAGGAAGAGAGCATGGGGCTGCCGGACTTGCGCGGCGGCGAGGAGTCGGTGGTTGTCAGGGGCGTGAGGGCGCAGGCGGACATGCCGTTGAGCGTCGTGGTGGCCGCGGCCGAGGAGGAGGACTCTGTGGCCGTCGAGCTGGAGGAGCCTACTCTCGCAACGACGCCGCCATTCGCAGCAGCCGCAGAACCGGCAGCAGAGCCAGCAGAACCAGCAGAACCAGCAGAGTAGGGATCGGTGGGCGTAGCTGTCTCCGTCTGCTCTGCGGTGGAAGAGGATGCGGACGAGGGCGAGGGCCCCCCTCCCGCAGCATGCTCCTCGTCGTCGTGATGCTCCTCCGCGAAGAAGTCTGCGGCGGCCGACCTGCCCCTGAGCCTGCTGCCCGCGTCCTGGCCGGCAGCGGCCTTGCTGCTGCGCTTCTTCTGCAGGACCGAGGGCGCCGTTGGGAAGAAGTCTGCAAAGCCGGCGGAGGCGCGTGACATGATGGGGAGGCAGGCAGAGATGTGTATCGAGCAGAAGACGAAGACGCTGGCCTAGGAGCCTGAGAGAGACGGGCGAGGGCGAGCAAGCACCATCCTTGAGCACGGCAGCCTTCTCATAGAGCCATGCAGTGTCCTCGCCGTCGTTCTTCTATTTAGTGTATTATCTTTATCTTCAGTGTCCTCCTGGACGCGGTGGTCTGGCTGTGGCGAGGCGCAGGTTTGGGGGAGTCCCGAGAGATCAGAAGCACGCCGGCCGGGCCAGAGACGAGAAGAGAAGAATTAAAAAGGCCAGCGGACGCGGCGAGCAGAGAGAGAGAGACCTGCGACGGTGCGAATTGAGCCTGTCCTGGCGTTGCTGTCGTGCGGTTCTTTTGGTCCTTTTGGAGGTTGGGATTTTTTTTTGTTGCTGGTGGATGACCNTTTTTTTTTTTTTTTTTTTTTTTTTTTTCCCCTTTCCCTTTTGCGGAGGTTTGGAGGTTTTTTTTTTTTTTTCCCTTTCCCTTTTGCGGAGGTTTGGAGGTTTTTTTTTTTTTTTCTTTTTGACGTTCGCGACGCCAAAAGGGAAAATCTTGACCCGACGATAGAGACGGCGAGGTTGGAGATGAAGATGAAGATGAAGGAGAAGATAAAGGAGAAGGAGAAAGGATGAAGCTGGAGATACAGGAAAGGCGAGAGGGTCATGGCCTGGCTGGGGGTGGTGGGCGGCCGGGGCAGTGAAGATGGCCACGCGAAGGCCAGGACGGCGACGACGACGATGATGATGAAGATGACGATAAAGAAGAAGAATAAGAAGATATTACAGAGATGAGACGAGGAGAGAGACGATGGATAAGAAGAGAGATGTGAGAGACTTGGACTATGGGATACAGACATGGCTGGTCCATCCTACGGCTGTCCGCTGCCTCTCTGGCCACCCAGAGGTAAGTCGACGACGAGGACGAGAGACGAAAGACGAGACAGAAGACGAGACAGAAGATGAGAGACGGAGGAGAAGAAGAGAAGATAGAAGATACTTGGTACATCAGAGACGGTCTTGATAGAGGAGAGACATCAAGTGGGATCCTCTGGCTCAGCTACAGGATGCAGACAGCAGACAGCATGCGATTATAAGACCTCCATACAATTACTATCGACGAGATCTATCAGTTGGACTGTACGGATAACTACTAGATGGTGAAGATGGTGAAGACAGGTTACGGCTCTGCTACAGCAAATAGCATCAACCAGAGGATACAGACATACACATCACAGGAGATGTTGGTAGAGACTAACAGCCATTATTGACCGTGACTCGACTTATAAAAGAGATACAAACCATTGTCAAAAGAAAGGAGAAGACAGCCTCCTTATTCTCCTGAGTCTCTCCTTGAGTCTCTCCCTGAGTCTTCTCCTGGTTGCTCTGTTGCTGCTCTAGCTGTCACTAATCGACCAAGAAGATAAAAATAGGCCAACCATCGACCACAGAAATAAGCAAAGAGAGCAAAAAAGCGCCTGTCCCTGGAGATCGTTAAATATAGATCTCTCACTTTCCCTCTTTCCCTTTGCCCTATGCCCTCTGGTTTTCCTGCTAGACGGACGCCTTGGCTGATGGCGGGCACTCCACTGTGGTGAGACATGGAGGAAGACGGGCAGCAAGCGGGCGAGGGAGAGAGACGAGACGAGACGGACGAGGGAGAGAAGGTCGAAGCAGGACGGGGGGGAACGGGAGAGAGGTACTCCGTAGACATGGTCAGCTCATGGGGTCTGCTGGCAATGCCTGTCTGCCCATCTGTCTGTCAATCGTCTCCATCGGCTGTCTATCAAGGCCGGCCGGCTGTCTGCAGGCTGTATGTAAGTATGTAAGTCTATCAATCGACCCCATCGCCATCCATGTCCATGTCGGGTCCCCCCCCCCGGGGCGCCCATCCTGGGCCCGGTCGATAAGGATGTCTTAGAAGCCGAAGCAGGAGAAGCAGCTGGCGAGTTAGCTCGATGGATCCAGCACAGCCTCCTCAGCGCTCGAGAGGTGGAAAGCAGATAAGAGAAGAAGAAGCAAGTTAGCAAGTAGAAAGTAGATAAAAGGAGCTTCTCCATCTCGTCGTCTTCACTCCGTCGTCTTCATCTTCATCTTCGTCTTCTTCTTATATATTTTATATCTTCTTCTCTTTCTTCTTCTTCTTCTCTTTTTGGCTGCTTCACTTTCTGCCCCTCCAAGCGCCGTCACCGCCCTCGCCCGCCTCGCCAACTTCGACTTTTCGACTTTCAACTTCAACTTCAACAACTTCAACGACAACGACAGCAACATCGACAACAAACTACAACTACAGCAGCTTCGATAGAGATAGAGAGAGACCGTCTGTTGCTTGTCTCCAGCTTCTACTTCTTCTGCTTCTTCTTCTCTGCAATTGACGTCGCTCGCTCATCACCATGTGGTAGGTCCCGCTCCTACAGCCTCACTCTTAAGACCACCACCAGCTAACGCCCTCGCTCGACAGTGGAATCTTCGGCTACATCAACTATCTGGTCGAGAAGGACCGTGGATACATCATCCAGACCATCATCAATGGTGAGTCTTGAGTCTCGATCCTCCAAACGATGCGGTGGGACGTTGCTTTAGGGCCTTACTAACAGGAACAGGCCTCTCTAGACTAGAGTACCGTGGCTACGACTCGGCCGGCATAGCAGTCGATGGCGACAAGAAGAACGAGGTCTTCGCCTTCAAGGAGGTCGGCAAGGTGGCCAAGCTCAAGGAGCTCATCGACGCCTCCAAGCCTGACCTCTCCAAGACCTTTGAGTCTCACGTCGGAATCGCCCACACCAGATGGGCCACCCACGGCTCCCCTTCCAAGCTCAACTGCCACCCCCATAGGTAGGTCAATATCTAGTATACCATACAAGTGAGAGAGAAGAAGAAAAGCTAATTGGAACAGGTCTGACCCTAACTGGGAGTTCTCTATTGTGCACAATGGAATCATCACCAACTACAAGGAACTCAAGGCCCTGCTCGAGTCCAAGGGCTTCCGCTTCGAGACCGAGACTGACACCGAGTGCATTGCAAAACTCGCCAAATACCTCTATGACCTGCACCCAGACATCGACTTCACCGTCCTGGCCAAGGCCGTCGTCAAGGAGCTCGAGGGCGCCTTTGGTCTGCTCATGAAGTCCGTCCACTACCCCCACGAGGTCATTGCGGCCCGCAAGGGTTCCCCCTTGGTCATCGGTGTCCGTACCGAGAAGAAGATGAAGGTCGACTTTGTCGATGTCGAGTACTCCGAAGAGGGCACTGCTCTACCCGCAGAGGCTGCCTCGCAGAATGCTGCCCTCAAGAAGTCGGCCACCAGCCTGCTTGCCCCGCCAGACAAGAGCCTGCTTCACCGCTCCCAGTCCCGAGCCTTCCTGTCAGACGACGGCGTACCCCAGCCAGCAGAATTCTTCCTCTCCTCTGACCCTTCCGCCATCGTAGAGCACACCAAGAAGGTCCTCTACCTCGAGGACGACGACATTGCTCACATCCACGAGGGCCAGCTCAACATCCACCGTCTCAACAAGAACGATGGCACCTCCAACGTCCGTGCCATCCAGACCATCGAGCTCGAGCTCCAGGAGATCATGAAGGGCAAGTTCGACCACTTCATGCAAAAGGAGATCTTCGAGCAGCCCGAGTCCGTCGTCAACACCATGCGTGGACGTCTCGATGCCGAGAACTGCAAAGTCACCCTCGGTGGCCTGCGTCAGTACATCTCCACCATCCGCCGCTGCCGTCGTATCATCTTCATTGCCTGCGGAACTTCTTACCACTCCTGCATGGCCGTCCGCGGTGTCTTCGAGGAGCTGACCGAGATCCCCATCTCCGTCGAGCTGGCCTCTGACTTCCTCGACCGCGAGGCCCCCGTCTTCCGTGACGACACCTGCGTCTTCGTCTCCCAGTCCGGTGAGACCGCTGACTCACTCAATGCCCTCCGCTACTGTCTTGAGCGCGGTGCCTTGACTGTCGGCTTCGTCAACGTCGTCGGCTCTTCCATCTCCCTGCTCACCCACTGCGGTGTCCACATCAACGCCGGCCCGGAGATCGGTGTTGCCTCCACCAAGGCCTACACCTCTCAATTCGTCGCCATGGTCATGTTCGCCCTCTCCCTCAGCGAAGACCGTGCCTCCAAGAGACAGCGCCGCGAGGAGATCATCAAGGGTCTTGGCCTTGTCTCCGACCAGTTCCGCGAGATCCTCAAGCTCAGCGAGCCCATCAAGGAGATGTGTGCCAAATTCTTCAAGAACCAAAAGTCCCTCCTCCTCCTTGGCCGTGGAAGCCAGCACGCCACCGCTCTCGAGGGTGCCCTCAAGATCAAGGAAATCTCCTACCTGCACTGCGAAGCCGTCATGTCCGGAGAGCTCAAGCACGGTGTTCTTGCCCTCGTCGACGAGAACCTGCCAATTATCATGATCTTGACCAGAGACAACCTCTTCGCCAAGTCTCTCAACGCCTACCAGCAGGTCATTGCCCGTGCCGGTCGCCCTATCGTCATCTGCAACCCTGACGACGAGGAATTCCCTGCCTCCGAGACAGAACGCATCGAGATCCCCCGCACCGTCGACTGTCTTCAGGGTCTGCTCAACGTTATCCCTCTGCAGCTCATCGCCTACTGGCTTGCTGTCGGCGAGGGTCTCAACGTTGACTTCCCACGTAACTTGGCCAAGTCAGTCACTGTTGAGTAAACAGACTGGTCTGCCCTGAACCAAAACCAACACAAAATCAAGTTTTGCCTTTTTTTCCCCTCCCCTTTACCATTAAAGGAAAAAAGGAAACAACTTCGGCTCGATATAGATCTGAACAATATTCACCTTGGGTTTTTTTTTTTTTTTTTTTCTTAAATATGGAGGATTAAAAAAGAAAACAAGAAAAAAGGACAACCAAAAATATTCCTAAGCAGGGTTCTCTCTATCAGAATAACAAAAAATCAATCCCAATTCCTTCCCCCTCCCTCCTCTCCCCCCTTTTTCCCGGCCCCTCCATTCCTATCTCCCTCCGAATTACCCCTCCCTTAACCTATCATCCCCTCCCGCGCTTCCCTTTTTTCACTCCGTTTTCATTTGTTACGAGGTTCAGCTTTTCCTTGCCATTTTCCTCCCTTTTGCGGTCCTTTCTGCTTCCACTCTATATGTTGTAATGCGACTCTGCATGCTTGCGTGCTATCTGTCTATCTGACCTCGGTGATATCTTACCCTGCGTAGCTACCTATATAAATAAGATCCTTACATCCCTTCATCCATTCGTCCTTGTCATGCAAGTAATTATGGACTCTATAAAGGCCTCTTTCTATAGCAACAAAGAAACCCATCAGGGCAGCTTTGACCACGCGGGGCTTATCTCAGATAACCGGCTTAGTAAGCTGAGCTATCACTTACTAATACTCCCTAGCGCATCTCGATATAAACAGCAAACAATATCCAGCTTTCCTCCCACCTAAACCGCCGTCTCTGCATAATATTCCCTATTTTGACACCATGTACGGAGTACTCCCTCGAGGTGCCTGTCTCCGAAGAATCCCGCAACATCCTGACTCGTACGCCTGCATACGCAAGCCTGACATATTCCATTCAGCCGTCCCGTAGGCCTCTGCCTTGGGCCCCAAATGCGTTAGAAGCATCACGTGGGCCAACTAGACAAGCTCCAACAGGTTCTCGACCAGCCTCGGGATCAACATCCTCACTTCCGCACATCGACCTTGGGCGGCCGCGAGTCTACATATAAAGCACCGAGCAAGCTGCCTCCGACACACAAGTCACACAAGTACACCACTGCCTAGACACCCACATACCTCTCCCAAGAATCGGCACCAAGATACATTGCATCACTCACAATGGCTACCATCAAAGGACTAAGCGCAGCGCCGAAACTCGATGGTACGCTGAGCTGCCCTTATCTATAGCATACGCTCTTGCTGTCCCCACCAACCCTCGCACAACGCAACGCCATGCTAACAACGACGACATATTAGGCTCGAATTTGCGCATAGCCATTGTCCACGCACGCTGGAACTGGCCGATAATCGAGGCTTTGCTTGCGGGCGCCAAAAAGAGCATTCTAGCAGCTGGTGTCAAGGAGGAAAATCTCGTTGTCCAGTGTGTCCCGGGGAGCTACGAGTTGCCCTTTGCCATCAAGAGGTGGGCTCGCTTCACTATCCCATAACTCAGCTCAGCTTGGCTAGGCGGGATGGATGTCGTGCTAATAGGGTTCTTTTCTGTAGTATCTACGAAGCCTCCCAGGCACAATCTAGTTCCAACACCGGCAAACCATTTGATGCCATTGTTGCAATTGGCGTGCTAATCAAGGGCGAGACAATGCATTTCGAGTATATTGCTGACGCTGTTAGTCATGGACTGATGCGTTTGCAGCTTGATATGGGTGTGCCGGTGATCTTTGGGGTGTTGACTGTTCTCAACGACGAGCAGGGTCTGGCTCGTGCGGGACTGTGTGGAGGTGAGAAGTCACATAACCATGGAGAGGACTGGGGTACTGCGGCGATTGAGATGGGCCTTAAGAGGAAGGGTGCGTTGAATGGTCAGATATTGTAGGTAGGTAGAGTTGGCATGATAGGTTAAAGAGATAGAGATGCCTTTTGAAGGCTGTATTTTAGGGGGGGCTGCAGTTCGGATCAAGAAGAGTTCGGATAATGCCTTGCCTAGTTATCTATCTATATGCGATGACGCTTTATTCCTCCATCTTATCGTCGTCTTCATCATCGTCGTCCTCATCGTCGTCCTCTTCCTCATCATCCTCTTCTTCAGTCATGGCTTTCTTAGCCAACCGCTCCGCTTCCTCGAGTAGCTCTTTGGGGACCTGCTCGTGTCTTCCCTTGGTAGGACCATCAAGAGAGCTGACCCAGGTCATTTCCAGCTCGAATTCTTTATCCTTGCTGTCCTCGTGCGAGATGTAGATGATTCTCGCTGCCTCTTTGACTCCATCCACCAGACTCAGCTTGCCAGCGGGGAGATCTAGTTTCTCCAGCTCGGCCTTCGCGGCCTGTCGCCCTTTGCCTGTCGCAGCGCCATAGTAGCCCTATCACTCCAGCAGTTAATACACAAGGCCTTCCAAAAGCTGACAGATAGATAAGAAGATAAGAAGATGACGTACCCAGTAAGCACCGCTGGGCTCGATCATGAACAAGCCAGGACCACCGGCCTTGGCTCCCTTGACCTTACCGCCTGAACCGCACTCAGGGCCAGACCCAACCTGGCCGTCTACAGGTAGCTCGGCCTCTGAATCCCATCCTCCAACTATAGCAGAGATGCCAAATGGCCGAACGGAAGAGTACAAGGTATATGCCTGGACGTATCCTCCTAACCGGCTGGCCAGCACGTCCGTGGGAATCGGTCCCTTATATGTACTTCTCCACGAAGAGGCTTCGTCACGAGCTCTGGAAACAAAGTGTCGTCCGTCGGGGATCAGGCCAGAGGAGACCTAGAACAAATTAGTAACATGCTCTCTTATCTTCTGATCCCTTAGGAGCAGGCTAGGCGAAAGACATACTATTCCAATGTTCCTGTCGACGGTAGCTATTCTCTTGTTGGCGCCGGCCTTGAGTAATTTGCTGCTGATAAGCTTCTCTACGGCCAGAACAACACCATCCTTGCACCGTATGCCGATGGACGTGCCGCCATTCTCAACTGCTTTTACCGCGTATTCTACCTGTGTGACGGGTTAGCTGGGGGGGATATGTTCCAGGCAAGCGTAGAGTGAGGTGAAGGGCGAGAGCAGCGCACTTGAAAGTTACGCCCGTCTGGAGAGAAAACGGAGTTCGACAAATCGTATCCTGTTCCTATGGAGGTCTGTAATAGTTAGCACAGCAGTCCGGATGCCTGGTATGTGTACCTCTCTAGTCGTCAATTGCTGTATCAACATACCATCTTGATGTTGTTGTGTCGGAGTTGTCAGTCAATGAGAGCAGCAGGGTATGTCAACGGTAAAATCAGGCTGTTGGCAGTATGGATCGGCACTCCTCGTCCTTTTCATCCGGCGGTTCTCTTCTCTTCTCCTCGTCTTTGCTTTGATATCTTCGTCGTCCGCCTGCGTCTTGTTTGGCGTTTTTGGTTCCTTTTGGAGCTTCGAGCTGGCTGCGTCACGGGACTGCTGCCTTCATGACTAAGAGATGACTAATCTCAACTATCAATTTCTTGTTTTTCTTTTATCATTATTTTGGTTGAACATCGAACAAACAAGAAGTCGAGCAGACGGAGGAGACGAAAAGGAAGAGAAGAAGAGAAGAGCCGGCGATAACTGTTGAGCCTATGGGACCCCTGCCTCGGTAATAGCTAGGACATGACATGGACTGACCTGCAGGGCCTTTTTTTTGTTGCTCTTCTTCGCTCGTTTCTGCCTGACATGCCTGTTTAGCCGCCACTTAACCTGCCGGTTGGGCATCGATCGTCTATCAACTCGCTGACTCGCAGACAGGAAATAAAGGACCTCAACCCCGAAGACTCGTTCTTCCTCTCTACCAGACACATCGTGAACTCCTTGAACTTCCGAAGCTGATACTTCCCGGCCTCTTTTAATCGCCTTGAACGCTTATCAACCTTACCCCCTTTTTTACCGGGCTAGTCCATACTCCACAACCCTGCCCCGCCGTCGCTATATCTTGTTTTCCACTGCTTTTGCCCTCTAAAGAGCAAAACAACACCCGGTCTCTGCCTTTAGAAGTGCTGATCGGTCAGAGAAACAGATTTCTTCGGTCACGTAGGGCAGACTGTTCGTCACTATTCCCACCTGCTCCCGCGTTGGGCATCACCGGACCCGTGTCAAATCATCCCTCTCCCCGCCATAATCGTCATTTTCCAGTACTTCAAGATCAAGATCTTTGGGAGAACCCGAAATAGACAACTTCTTTCCCCTTCTTTCGAAATTTTGTTGTGCTTCCTTCAGCTAGCTAGAACATATATAGGAACAAGAAAAGGAGTTGTTTATTGCCCGAAGTTCTCTCTGAAAAGCAAATCCAAAAGACTATCATCAAATCCTAACATACCAACCAACAAATCAAACAAGCCCAGGCAACGACAAGAAAAGACAGGATACACCTATCTACCTCACTCTCACCTTGAGCCAAGATGGTTTCTGCTCTTCACCGATGTCCGTACTGCTCGTACGAGACTGATTTGTCAGGCGCCCTTCCGGCCTTCACAGAGAACCCTCACTGCCAGAGAGTAAGGAGTTCCTACAGCGCAAGCATATTGTTTATTAGGATATTATTCTAACAGCCTCAATAGTGTGGATTGTCTGCAGCTGAGGGTGACATGAAGATGGACAATGATCTTGCTGCACTCTTTGCTAGCAAGATGGCTGTGAGCAATGGACCAGCACAGCCACCTTCAGGCAATGTAGCCCCTCCTCAAGCACCCTCTCACACATCTACCGACACCGATATCGATGCCATGCAGCAGGAACACTCTAACACTCCCAACCCTGTTGTCTCTGCCCATGGATTCTCCACGGAGGATACACTCAGAAGCTACAATATTGACCCAAGCTCTCTATACCCATCCCAAATTGACTTGTTCAGACAAGCGGCTCCAGAGCAGAAATTCCGCCTCATCGAGCTATGGCGCATATCCCCAGGTTCAGCCATGCCAAACATTCTTCCAAGCCAAGGAGCCCACATTGTTCAAACAAACTTTCTTTCAAACCTCAAGGAGAAGTCTCAACCATACAGTGGTGACGACATGATGATGGATGATGATAAGATCAATGCTGAACCATATGTTCTCTCGGGGTACGAACAACTCGCTCAGCAGGAATATGAGAGCCAGAGCGCACCAGCCTCGACATCTCTATCAACCCATACCTACAACCAAGCCACTGACCCAGTTTACAAGGGAAGCGAATGGCAACAGGAGCAACAACAGCGTGCTATGGAAAATCAATATGGCGAACTCCAGATGAAGAAATACTACTTTGGATGTGGGATTTCGAGAGCTCACTGGCTGGAGGACGAGCAGATGCTATAGAATCGGATGCGCAAGAATCGGTGGCTATGATATCACTTCCTTCTACTTTCATGACTTCTTAGTCGCGCTTAGTTTGAGAGATACTATTGGGATTTTTGAGCCAGCACTTTATCTTGATTTCCTATTTCCCTCTTTTTTCTTATGATTTGTCTATGTGAACCCATGGAGACGACTACTTGCATGAACATTATACACAGACTTTGTTGGCCCTCGATTACCAGTTAGATTATTGTTAGTCCTGTTTTACTCTCAATACCCATCTCTACTACTTTGCACAAGGTTCATGCATCGTCTTTCTGTATTGACTTCTATTCTCCCAATATAATATGTGTATGTAATCTAAGGGTACTATTTCGGCTTGATACTAGCAATATTGTATATATAGGGGCATAGAGCTACAGGAGATATATACGAACTCTTAAATTGGTTAAAACATGCGTTACAGTAGAATTGGTTGTAAACCGAAAGGTTAGCTGGGTTTTGACTGGTGTTAAGCATCCCTAACTTTTGAAGATGTAGTTTTTGATATAAAATAATTAAGAATACATTAAAAATAAATATCTTAATAGCCAGAAGACCTTCCCATATTATGGCAGTTGTGGTTGATACTCAACTATTTCGCAAACAAGCCTATAAGCTAGGTCCGGGGTTATATTACAAGTCTATTGTTCGTATGATTGAGGTTAGTACGAACCCAAAGACGCCCATAAAAATAATAGTCAAAATTGTGAAAACTACGGGCTTTGTAGTTTATTAAATTCTGGGGTTAGCAGTTTGAGCAAAACTTTTATAGGAAATGGAGCACCTACATCTGTTATACCCTCTTCAAGGAACCTCTCGATCCACATCGTCTGCATTAGCGTTAGTAGAGTGTAGTTTACTTCTTTATAAAAAGCATGTTATATACCTTATCCCACCTCTCTTGTCTCTTCACAATTGCTTTCTGCATTCTATGTTAGCAGCGGTGCAGTTCACTGCTCTATAAAATATGCGTCATACCTCCTCCTGTTCCTCCAGCTCCGCTATTCCCTTCTTCATTGAGCGTCAGCAGGGTGTAGTCCACTTCTTTCCACAATATGCTACGTACCCTATTTTCCTCAGCCCCCCGAGATCCGTCTATTCTGTTCTGATTTCAAAGTTAGTGGTTGCAAAGTCTCTGGGAGCTGTATACCTTACACACCTTTTCTTTCGATAGATCTGACCATAAAGATAAAGCAAGAGAAAGGGTAGCGCCGGTTTTATGTGCTGAATCCTTGATAAAGAAGCGCTCAATATCATCGACATTGGCGCAGTAAAGTGCCTCCCCAAAGCCCTCGAAAGAAATAGGCATCTCTTGAATTGTAGGATGGTCTACCGGGAGTTGTTTCAAAGCTGCAACCCATGATCTCAGAAAAGCTCTTACTTCCTCTGGCATTGCATTAGGGCACGGGCATGGCGGAAAGCCTGCGTTTTTCCTGTTAAGCTAAATAGAAAGTCAGTTTACCGAGAAATCGTTGTAATATTCTCTCTTGTGTCGAAAAGCACACCTTGTTTAAAGTCATTTTTCACTAATGATGGGTATAAGATAAAAGAGGGCTATGGCTTCAAACATTGAAGGTATCGATGTATACAGCTTTCTTGCATCTGGACAGAGGTGTTTTTGCCATAGAAGCTTCAGTTTCTATAACGACCATGACGTCATGAGATGTTAACAATGGCGCTTATTTAAGTTTATCGCGTTTAATAACGGTCGAGATGTCTTCGGCTTAGCGGCTAATATTGCCGGCTATTGGTTTGGGTTAAGCGCCATTCAAGTGCCCTACGATTTTCGATACGATGAATTTAACAGGATGATTGAACCTTACTTCTTGGCGGATAAACAGTATTAATTGTTATCAATTATCAATATTATGTCATATTCACATGTATCATTCAACATCTTCGCATAATAAAGGAACTAGGATCAACATTGACTTAGTAGATATAACGTTCTTGGTCAAGTGTTCCAACGAATAAAACATAAATGATGCAGGGCATGTATAGACGTCGTAAGTTGAAGGAAATATGAATCTCGATGATCAAACCCAGCTGTTAAAAAAAAAAGATGTCGAGATCCTCTCGTGGTTCACCCTCTTAGATTTTCTTATATCTTATGCAGGCAGTGCCTAGATGTTTCAATTTTTACCCAATAGGGTGTTTGTTTTAAACATGATCGACTTCGATGTAGTACGAACTTCGGCTTGATGTGACTTCTTAATTTGGGGTTTTCAAAGAAACCAAGAGGCGTTCGTTTTTGATCGACCGTCTGCATATGTAAGAAGCCAAGTTGCGGTTGCGAAACTTCGTACGCCTTTTGTGATTCTTTGTACAATCTCACCCACATGGTAAATACAAGGATTGGATTACATAACTGAGCACAGTGACCGATCTGTTGGGTAAATCGTGAGTCGAGTATATAAAGAAAGCCAGTTGCAACCAGTTACTGAAGATTCTTGGAGAATAGGACAGTAGACAAACAGATATATATATTTATTCAGCCATGAATGATCGAATAGCAAAATCAGTCACCTTCGCCTCATCAATACAGCAACACTAAGAATAAAGGGCCTGGATACAAAATTGTATAGCCCTTATTCAAGTGCGGAGAGAGGAAAACTGAAAAGCTGATAGCTGGAGTATAACAGAGAGCAAGGCAGATATATGGTAAGATTGAAAAGGGTGTACATGGCCATATAAAAGCCAAACTTCCGTGAAATAAAAAGCAGGAAGGGTAGTAAGTATAAACAGAAAAGGGAGGTTGGAAAGAAGGTTGGAGATTGAACCAATTAGTAGCATTGTTGAACCCCTTCCCAGACACTCAGTAATGATAACCCAAGACCATGTAGTATAACCACCCTGGGATGATACTGGACCGAGAACCCACGTACTCCAAAGAAAAGCAAACTGGCCTGGTCTCAGCGTCAACTGTCATGTAAAATCGAGATTCCTCCTCTTGGTCCTTTGTCATAACTGCCGACGTTGCACGGTGTTGGAAGTAATGAAGACGATATATCCCTGCATATATCAAAAGGGTGTGTGTATAAAGGTGGGCACTTGCTCGTATATATAGTGGTGTCGTTCCGCCTTGTATATAAGGACTGTCTCCCTAAGAAAGATGCGAGGGGTTGAACAATGTTGCAAAAAATGCTGTTGTCCGATATAATCGTAGGTTGTTGATGGACGAGTGAAGGATATCGATGGCAGGACGGTGGAACGAAGCTCGGTCTGGAAAAACACAAAATATCGAATAGGTACAGCGAAAAAGGAACAAAAGTTATCCTGACGGACGGATAGCCGCACGCCGGCGGTAGCTCATACACACAGAACCTCACACCACACCGATTGTCCTGCCACTATCCAAGCCATGGATTGAACCCCAGGGGTTTCCATGACTGGTGTGGCAGTTGGGCTGCTAGGAGTATCTAGCAGGGCTGGCCGGGGATATGGCACCACTTCTTCTCAACTACAGAACGAGTCAGTACAGGGCGTCAGACGGGGCGTATTAAACAACTTACCGACTGGCTCAGGGGCACGAGCCTCAAGCTGAGCTTCGGCAACTTCGGCAGCAGGAGCTGGGGCAGCAATCACAGCTACGGAAGCAGCGGCGATGGCAAGGATGTAGGCGAAGAGCTTCATGATTGCTGATTTGAAGAAGAGAGGAAGACTCTTGGAAATAAAATAAGAGATGTGGCTAAGTGCTTAAGAAGGCTTTGTTTCAAGAGATGATCTTGAAGAGACTCGATAAAGAAGCTGGGCTCTGTGTAGGAAACGTCAAGGAAAAGAATCATGCATGAAGCATGCATGGAGCGCCTCCTTTATAGACGCTCCTTGAGGAAGGGCCTGGGAGAATTTTTGCTGAGGGGTTTTCCAGTTGATTGAACGGGAAGAAGGCATCAATTGCTCAATAGACCGGGTGAATATCACTCAGATACTTCAGACGAGCTGGGTCTGGGAGCAACGTGGAGAATAAACACCACGAGGAATAGAGCCAATAAGGGGGTATTGTAAACGAAGGGATGATGTCCTAGCTTCAGTAACCACAAGTTACTGGGGTTATAGATACGCAATTAATCTATGGAATAAGGGCTTGTATGTCCTAGTGCTCCATAAAGTCAAGCGGAGACCTTCACCTAGGACTACATAGACCGTTGCGTTTTCAGCTAAAGTCGAAGCAAAATGGAAGTGAAATGCCGCAAGAACCACAGGTCCATGACATGAGGTCTGAAAGAGATCCATGTAACAGCATAAAGGAAAGGAGGCAAGCCTGGGTCTGGGAATAAGACTTCCCCAGGCGTTCCGCGGTGATGCCAAAGGCCAGGACGTGGTCTCGACCGTCTTGAATAACAGCTATCTGTATCCGTGTCCAGGTTATGTCTATCAACCAGCGCATCTACACGGGTCAGAGTCCGCATAGTCACCACCAAGGCAAGGGACAGCCAGCGGACGTGAAGATGAAAGACAGTTCGAATCCGCTTTGGTACCTCAATAAGAAGATAGTCGCTTGCAAAAGTGTTCTTTGCTTATTGACAGACTAGCTTCCGCTTTTGGGTCTCAATAAGGATCCAGTGCGCTAGTCCCGATTAGGTAATATCTTGAACTTCACGGTTGAGCTCACATTATTATATTAAAGACGGGCAACAAGAGACTAAGAGATACCATGGGATATCATAAAGGTTAGCTGGGATAGCAATAAACAACGCAGTTTTGACCAAAGCCTCGTAATGGTGGATGCTTTCGCCCGGTTAATGTTGGGTTGCGGGATGGTATTGTGGTCCATGGCTCATGACTTTGGCTGCTGAACGTGGTATCAACAAAGACGTCCTCCAGCTTCTTTGGGTCTTCTTCTCCAATGCCATAGAAGCGCTGTCTATCTTGGCTCTTGAAAGTTGTTTTGCACACAAGCATCAACCGGTCAATGGCTTAGGTTTATTCAATTCAACCTGGATCCTCATATTTCTCCCGGCGAGGAGAGAACAAGGGCA